ACCGCGCGTCGAGAGACGCGAAAGTTGCGCGCGATTTCAGTCTTTGGTTTCCCATCTTCAACAGCCTGAATAATCCCAGCTCTTTGAGAGACTGATAACTCCTTATTAGGCCTTCGATTACCACTAATTTCTGTGCCAAAAGACCTCATTTTGGTAAAGTTATTGATTGTCCAAGTAAGTGGTGGGTGTAGACTGTAGAGATATCAGCTGAGACTGGGGTCTGTGCGCAGACTCTTGGCTTAGACGCTTATTTAGTACTTTATCTACGGAAGTCAGGGCAGCGGGAAAATCCATACACTAAGATACGTCTGGCGAATGCTCAGACCAAAGACCTCATAGTATCTGTTTAGAAATAGTCGTAGTAAAGCTTTCTCATTCGTAAGTGCCCGAAGATCTAATTTAAATGATAATTACAGTTTCTTCCATCCAATGCTCTCTCCTCAGCTCCGCAACCACATCATTAGCAAGCTTGTGCTCCTGTCCTCTTTGCACCGGCGGACCCAGTCGAGCAGATAAGGAATTTTCAAAATCCTCCATTTTTGCAATGGCACTTGGCGATGCCGCATATTGTATAGGAATATGCCAGAGAGTGAGCACTCCAACACGACGATACTCGTTTTCCTTCTTAGAGCCAGTAGCCTCTAGCACAAGCAGATCCATAGTATCAATACCTTCAAGCATTTGAAGTACTGCGAAGTGGCCTCCAGGAGGAGAAGAGTATCTGTCCTCTACGTTTCCTGAACTCTCCTCTTCCAGAGTCGCCGAAATATACTGCTCCAGTTTTGATATTGGTTCTCCCGCAGACTTCAATTCGCCGTTGTAAAGCCTTGGGATTTTCTTCAACGGGCCGGTGATGGTCAAACTCCCACGTTTTACGGATCCAAATGGTTGAAGGACATCCATAAGCTCGACCTGTACGTCATCAATTTGCGATAAGGCCTGGAGATGAGTGCTGTGCTTTTGGCTGTTCTTTATACGTTGATATCCAATACTGGCCCAGCTCCAAGATGGAAAGTCCGCGTTTACCGCTCGCATGGTCTCTGTAGACCGTCGAGGAACAAGCTTGGCGCCTTCGACGTGCCACATAAGCCCTCTGATCAAGTCCGGTTTCCAGAGCCCGGCAACGTATTCACGGCATCGGATCATGTTGCCGAATACTTGGGCAAGCCCTGAGATTGCCACAAGACGATCGCTGATATTTTTGAATCTTCTCGGCGTGTATTCCTCAATTAGGTTGTACCAGAGCCGAAAGGTTTCGGGTTCCAAAAGGAGTCGAGAGTCCAAGTTTCCTGGTAAATATCTCGGCAATATTTTAAATATCATAAATGTGTCCAGTTTCCATATCCATCCAGAACCAAAAGCTATATCATCAGAGAATGCCGAGACTTCCTCTATCGCGCTCTGCAGACATTGGGTTACGCCCCTTTCGAATCTTATCTCTTCGTGACACTTCCAAATCATTTGAGAAGATGTGTAGTGCAATAGGCGACTAGGAAGTAGGCCTTCTTGCATTGTCCAGCCTCGGTTAGTCCAGTGCCCATTGATGTGATCGTTGCTCTTGTCCCATTCTGGCGAGAGAAAAACTTTCGTGATAGGTCCAGCATCATTGAAATTGTCTGGCTGATTACTAGAACGAGGGATTGGGATATACCGTAATTCCCGCTCCTTCAAAAAGCCGTCCTTAACGGACTCCTCGCTGGCAACGACAAGAGTTAGCACCGATCCTCCGTAGATTTCGCTCATTTTGGGCGCTTGTTCAGTCCAATCTTTTCCGTCGTCGTCTTGAGTGATGCATAGAGCATCGATCCAGATGTAAGGGATATTCAAAGCTCTAGAAACCAGTATGGCATCCTGGATTGTACGATCGAGTGTTTCCAAAGGGATTCCACGCTTCAGCGCATCTAAGTTATCCAGGCTAAGCTTTACCGAAGGTTCTTGTCCCCAGCAGTAGCTTAGAGATAGCCATGTCACCTGCTGAGAACTAGGTGATGATTCAACGAGGAATGGAATCTGTGATTCGTCGCCAACATTGATCAACCGTTTTGGCGGTTTGTGCAATTCAGCAGGTGGTTTGCAAGAGTCATGGTTCTTTAAACAGCGCTCTAGCCAGATCGATGCAATGTTAAGAGCTGTATTAGAGCCCGAATTCAGTTCCATCCTCCTTAAAACTGGTGGTGAATCGTCCTCTTTGATCGCGCAAAGTTCGAAGATTTTATTGAATGGAGGGCAATGTTAGTTTTCAGTACTAAATTCTTTAAAAAAAAGAACACTTACCATTGCTTTCATCCATATAAATATCAAGTTGACATAGCTCAATCAGCCGTTCCTTCGTATCATAATACACTCCAACGCCGCTACCAGCGGCATGGAAGACTATTTCCAAGCCTCTTGCTTCCTCCGCATTAGCGGCTTTTCGATCCCTTTCCCGTCTCTGAAAAGTTTCAAATATAATTTCGCAAAGATTACAATGAGTGCTTGATTTCTCGACCTCGAAAATGTCGTCGTGATGTCTGAACTTAGGCGAGTTATCAGACGGAAAAGAGTTATAGTCATAGATTTCGCCATTGCTAATGGCTTCCTGTCTACCCCGACACTGTTGAAGGCAGGCAATGAGAAGTGCTCGAAAGTCTACTCTTTGGCACACCGTGCATAGCGACATTTTTAGACACTGAAGTGGACTAGAATGAAGCAAGGCTATGTTAAAGAGCAAGAAGGAGGAATTACTTAAGAATTCCCAGTATCTATTTCATTTCTTCCACGAATATGTTAGAGGATTAAGAGGAAGAACAACGAGGCGCTCGCAAAATGGAAAAAGGTAGGGAGTGTAATGGTCTTGACTGGAGCCTATGCATGTGGCTGAGTGGCTCCGACGTGGCTCTTTGCCTGGCGGCCTGGAGAGGCATAGCACTGGCAGGCGGGGTAAGGCACAAGCAACACGTGATTACCTGCATGATTGCCTGACCCCCGGCCCTACAGATATACAAGACTCATGGCAAGATTATTAATGCAGTTTCTAGCCTCAGGCTCCTATAGATGATACCTTGGTCTGCGACACACGACAGTTATTACCTGGTGGTGTCAGGTCGAAGGTTGGGGCTGCGTGGGTGTATCATATCGTTGAAATCTATTGTGTTTTTGGGGCGCCGAGCCAGGAACCAATCGCCAAGGGAACTTGGGCGAATATAGGCCGGAAGCGGGTAGTCCAGATACAAGTAGGCCGGAAGCGGGGGGTTCGATACGAAGTTTACAAAACGCACACGTGAAAAAAATCATGTGATTTAAGTTTGGGTTGGGAAGTCGGTAGCTTACTTACGGGGCCCAAGAAACCTTACGGAACTTCGTTCCTCCAGGCAATTCTCTCCTTTCTGTGGAACGGAAATGTGGATGGCTGCAACTGTCCAACATGAAGCTGAGGCCTGAGTCGACTTGGAGTCGTTGACACAGAAAAAAAGAAGCAAACGAAATTATCCAGATAACCAGTTGATATCTAATCCTCAGCATACGAAAAATCCGGCGCTCATAGCGGCCATTGTCGTATTAATTAACGGCATTGTATACGATGGTTTGGGCATCGTTCCGACAAAAGTCCTCTAAACTTGCTAGCCATGTCCATTCAACGACCCCTTGATCGTTTCGAATGACTGCTGGATCGTATTTCCGTGAATTCTCATTCCTAATAATTGCGGCACCATCGGGCCTCTCTGCGGCGGAGGGCCAAATTAGCATCAAGAGCAATGGATACTATACTACAGGAATGGCAATGCTTGATCCAATCATGGTTCGCTAGACGGGCAGACGCTTCTGAAATCTTGGAGGATGCCCAGAAACTGGAGCTTAAATACCCCATACGAGGAAGACGAGTCGCCGAGTTAATCATTGCGGAGTCTAGTGACGGGAATGAGGACGAGATTCGGCTGATGGATTGGTCAGGAGACATATATGTCAGGACTTTACTTCGAGCTGGCCGCATTGACATTGCCGATGTTCTTGGGGCCCTCCTCGTTCGGTCAAAGACTTATCATGCGGCATTTTCAAGGCCCGACTTCGAGCTTCCCAACTCCAAGTCAAATGCGATGGACCTGGAGAGCCGCATCTTCCTCACGTTGACGCGAGCGCTGATTTCCGGGCCTCATCCGAGAAGGCAGATGGAGCTGACCGACTTTCTTCGCTTCCTCGCAAAATACATGTCGGCGGCAGCCACCACAAGCGTGGAGACGGCGCTGCTCGACCCCTTGACACGAGAGTACCGGTGGGCGGAAGATCGGCAGCATCGATTTCGAGACCGGCTAGGGACCTTGGCAGTCACCACACTAGAGCATGGGAAAGTGATTCGGTTCCTTATGGACTCGAAACGAGAGAGTGAGTCATATTCAACACCGGCATGTGGTGCATTCTAATTGCTGACATTGTCACAGAGATCCATCGCGAGCTCGCGGAAGCTCTGACTCTCTTCGTGCCAGTATACGCCCAAATTTCTCCGAACACGGCCGACAGACTTGGGCTCGCACAGCGCCAGAGCACATTGGTGCAGGAAGGGGAAGAAGGCGAAATGGACCATGGGGACATTGATGTCGCCGCACTCCATGTTGACGCAGTAGTCGATCTCCAGACCATTTACAGTCGAGCTGGTCTTTATGTGTTTATCAGCGCTTTGGTGAGTGGTCCTGCACCTACCGAAATACAGCAAGCTTACGAATCTTAGATGTCGGGGCGTCCTCTGATGGGAGATAATCTGATATTGAACTACCTCAATGTGCGATACAAGGTACTATTATTTTGTCTTGTCATTCCTTACCCCCACTAACTAGATCTCTACAGAATGATATGCAAGCGGCCGCGGAGACGACGACTGCCTTAATTGTGGCATCTTTTGATGTCCTGTCCACCGCCATGAAACGCACTGGTCACAACGAGTCCATGTTTAGCCTACGCTCTTTCATGATCAATAAACTCCCGGTTTTGATCTCGATTCTTTCCACCTCAACATATCCCCCACTCTCGGTGGAGCTGTGCATCACCGAAGCATTTCGCCTTATCCGACCTAACGCATTCCCCTCCTTCTCCGACTCCTTCATGGAAGCCGGTAACAACGTGATGGCGGATGTCCGACAAGACTTCCTGTTTGCATGCATTATGCATCGCCTGATTGTTCCGCAAAGTCTCGAAAGACTTTTAACGGTGGATGAACGGCCCATGTCGGATCCCCCTTCCCCTTCGAAATTATACTCCAAGGATTTACTTTTGTCTCAATGTTCGTCGAACCCGGAACGTGCTGAGGAGATTGTTGGCGAGCTTGAGGATCTGGACGGAAATGCTGGTGCCATTGTGGAAGCACTTGTCGAGGTACGGTTTCTCCTCCACGCGAATGGACATCACTGACTTGCTGACCAACAAGCTTATCCGAAACATGTGCAACACGAAGGAAACTCTCTCTTTAAAGAGTATTTGTAACGCCTTGTCGCGAAGACGGATCGCGCTAGACGTTGTCTTCCAGTTCACATCCCCAGCCTCCATACTACAGCCACTTTGTCATCTACTGGATACATGGCGGTATGAAGAAGACGCAAGCGAATTCCAACCTGTCTACGATGAATTTGCCGGCATATTTCTTCTCGTACTGGCGTTGGTGTATCGCTTCGGTCTGACGCACCAAGAAATGGGCATCGCGCAAGACTCGTTTGTGACCAGATTCCTTGAGAATGATCATATCAGTTATTCGATGGAAGAGCTCGAGGGAAACCAGAAGACCCATCTTAGTGCGTGGATCAAAGCTTTATTTGACCCAGAAGGGAACATCGATGAGGTTATGGCGACTTGTCGGCCTCAGGAGTTTTACATGCTGATGCCGACTATATTCGGTCAAGTGGTCGCAGCGGCGGCCGCGGATATTATCAGCATTGACGCAGTGAAGTCGGGCTTGGACTGTAAGGTCGACGTGTCTACATCGATTCAGGAAATATGCTAATAGCTGACAGACATTCTCGAGACCTTTTTATTGCCGTCGCTGGTTGCTGCCTTTTCGTGGATGGCCGGTCATGGATTTGAACAGACACCCAATGGTGCAGCGATCATCATACAGATCCTTCAGAAACTTTTCCGCTCCCCGTCTTCCTCGGGCGATGCACCCTCGATGCACGCAACGGTTCTTTCGATAAGCACCAGCAAGTTGGAGAGACTGCTCCTCCACTATCGCCGCAATCTCCCGTCGGTACAAGAGATACCGGCTCTAACGGAGCTCTTGAAGCCGCATCTTCATTTCGAGCGCTCTCGGATGCACCAACTTGGGGAGTTAGATTCATGGACATCGGCTCCCCACAATCTCCTCGTTTCGATTCGATCCGTGGTCCAGTCGCTGGCTAACATGGACTCGTCCGAAAACGAGATGGTCCCGAGTCCACAATACAATCACCGGCAACTGTTGCTTACCGTCCAGATCCTTGGCGCTGCACGAGTTCTCCAAACCATCGTGGACGAGGTCAAACATCAGACCGAATTCGGGAGGGGCGCAATCGCGCTCGATGTGGCGACATCCATTATCTGCGCCCCAGGTCTCGCCTCCCATGTCAGTGCCGACCCGCACGGAAGCCTACCTTCCGGTGCTGTCAACTGTCTTCTCAGCCTTCGAGACGCATTGACACTGATGCGGGATCAGGCGAAGAGCATGGTGAAGCAAAAGGACCTCCTGGGTGCGGAAACCGTCGTCCGCCTCTCTCGAAGGGTCGAGGCTCAAATGGTTCCTCCGGCTCCAGCGACGGCGGTGGACGGACTGGGCGCTGCGCAGATGCTGCAGCCGCTGGATTTGGCCGGCACGGGAGAGGCTCCCTCAACGGAGCAGATTACTCGGCAAGCATTGGATTTTACATCCGATGCCGCCACGGCGGCGGCCAACGCGGCGGCCATGGATCTGGATCCGGGCGCGACGGACATGGACCTTGCGCAGGACATGGCTGCGAACGCTAATTTCCCGACCAACGAGGACGATGTATTCGCCGGGCTTCTGGACGCCTCCATGGATGACCTGCAATTCGATGCGGACGGTACGTCGGGGTTCTAGGCAAGCACGGTTGAAACCAAAGGGAGAAGATCGGTGTGAGGATTGATGTTCAAGAATATGTAATGCTCGACATTCCGTTTAGTTAGAGAAAGTCGAACGTGTCTCCAGTATTGTCCATGACCATTTTCTTCGCTCGTTGCGCGCCCACGACCCGTTCAAGCTTCAACATGTCCCACCTTGAAAAGAGGGTGCGCACATGCGTTTCTGCTGCATCCACCAGCCCTTCGTTGATTGATCTCCCCAAATACCCGTCGACGAACTCTTGGTAGAATATGGGGTTCTCCGGGATGCCATACATGATGATCCGCTTGACTCCCTGGATGTTGTTTCGCCGGAAATGATGGGCACGACCGGTATATAGTAAAACACTGTACTTTCCACTTATGAAGTGCGACCTTGCTCGGCGTGCGTTCGGCATATCGGTGTACTCGGATATGACGCCGAAGGACAGCGATTCGGTGGACGTCGAGGTTGCAAAGTGGTTTCGTAGACGGACAAAGTCCATATACGACGGAACGAACAACAAGACACCCTGACCCCCTTCCGCAGGACGAGGAAGCCGGACAAGAGCCGGAAGTACCGCCGACTTGAAATATTCGAACCGCTCATCGGGATCGTTCGCTGGCTTTGCGGAGTCGAATCTCGAGAATGTTTGCTTCACCCTTACCACACTAGATTGCATCACCCCTAAATGCTCGGGTAGAAATTTCGCCTTTCCTTCAATATTTCGCATCCTCTTTGCGAAAATGTTGTTCAGTTCCGGCGTCATGAACGCAGAGAAAACGATTGTCTGTCGTAGGAAGGATGCGTTGCCATCCAGATACCAGCTACGCACACGCGTGAAGTCGCAGCCATGGGCATCTTTGGGTTGGAGGTTGAGGTGGTCAAACACGAAGTCGACATGCTCCCAATTCTGCATAAGCATTGCGTCCGCTTGATCAACGACTACAACTTCGATAGAGCTTAGGAAGTCATATTCTGCTTTCTTCGACCTGAACGCAACTAGTTAGTATCTTCTTGTCCTAGACGGGGAAAGACGTACCCCTTCGACTCAATTGTTCTTCTCAGGCCCAACGGGCTTGCCAGGATGAGATCCGACTGGTAGAACTGGGCAAAGAACTTCATCGTCTTCCTCGTGAACTTGATCCCCAGTTTAAAATCGTTGTCGCCGTTGCCCTCGAACAATTCCCGGAAATCCTCCGGCCGGTCGGACGAGAATTTCGGCTCCGTGTCGACGAAGCTGTCCTGAAAGCGGCTTTTGTTCTCTTGCTGGTCCGGACCGCAGATCTCGACAAACGCATCCATGTACTTCGCGCACATGTCCCGAGTCTCGAGAAGGATGAGAACTTTGGGTCGGGTGAAGCCTTGGTCTCGAATGTCGGGTACATCGCCGTCGCCCAATTTTGACAGTCGCGCATTGTTCTTCAAAACCTGGTCGCGTGTCTTGAATATGTGATTGATCATGTGCAAGCACGTCAGTTTCCGAATTCGAGCGGCGTTCTTCACTGTTCTACTGGCGAACATGGTGTCACGATAGGTGAAAATGTGCTCTGCGAGGTCCTTGTCCAAATCTCCTGCTTTTTTAAGTACTTTTTGCGCCGATTCCTGGAATCGACTTTTGATGGCGAGGGCGTCAGGATCCAAGGTCGAGGTGGGCAGTTTAAGGTCACCACTACTCCCGGTTGTTGTCGGTCGAAGAACTTGAACGGAACCCCCTGAACGAGGTTTGGCACTGCTGGACACGATTGAGTTATCCTTCAGTGCGCTTATTCGATTCTGTAATCGCTCTTCATCACGATCTCCGAGGTGGTAGTGGAATGGATCACTTTGGCTGGTCGAATCCGGCTCGTCCTGATCGATATCGTCCAGCTCGGATGGTTCATCGTGATCAGCGCTCTCAACTTCCTCGAGAACTTCCTCGTCCGGCTGAAGGCCATCGACGGCAATTTCCCTATCAGATAATGCCGGTGATTCCCCTCGCTCTGCGTCCCCACGGTTCAATCGTCTTCTTTTCCGCCTGTCGGCGTTGGGTGGTTGAGCATGCTGAAGGGACAGGAGGAGGGAGTTGTAGGGTCTGACAGGTGGTTCGGAAGCATCGAGATCGGAGTCTGATGCATCGTGGCTAGCATCGTCTGGAGTATCATCTTCGGTGTGAGTTTCTTCTGGAATATCCAAGTCCCTTTGGAAAGTTAGTGGTGTTGTGGACGATATATGTACAGGGACTGGCGGACTTTGTTTCGTCTTGGAGCCGAGTGGAGGTAAAGGTCCGTCCCTGTTTCTTTGCACGAGGGTTTGGACGGCCTCGTTTAAATGAAGGTTTCACAGCCATGGTCTGGTCGTGTATTGAGAGGGAGTTATGGGGATATCTATGGTATTAATTACTCTTGAAATCCATTCGGAGAGTTGAAGAATTGCAGAACTGTCTGTTATCGATAAGAAATCGTCGAAAAACCCCCTGGATCCATCTCGGCATGTGATTGGCTGCCCGCCACTCCAATCAAGCTGCCCTGTGCGGTGTAGCGAATTTTCGAGTTGTTCGATGTTCAACGTTCCAAGTGTCGATTCATCCGCCTGGCACGTCAACTTCTCCTCAGTTCGGCGTCCTAAGTTCACGAGAATATGGCTGTCCCGGATTCTTTCCTTCATTTGGCGAGGCCACTGGGCCCAGCGACGGTTGGTTCCCAGCCAACCACGACGCCTCTGAAAGTCGTCGTGCAGCCACAGGTTAGTTGCCCTTCTGCGATGCTGCGTTTGCGCCGCTAATCGACATCAGGCACTCTTCTCCATCTTAGATCATACGTTACGAAGGCATCCGGAGCAAGAGCGAGTGATTGGAACCCTTTTGGGGGTGAGAAGCGAAGATGGGACCGAGGTGGAGATCCGAAACTGCTACGCCGTCCCGCATACCGAAACCCAGGAGCAAGTCGAAGTGGATATGGATTATCAGAAGCAGATGCAAGCGCTGCATCTGCGAGCGAACCCGCGCGAGGTGCTGATCGGGTGGTACGCGACCTCGTCCAAGCTCGACACCTTCTCCGCCCTCATCCAGAACTTCTACGGCCAGCAAGGCGACGGCACATATCCGCATCCGGCCGTGCACCTCACGGTTTCGACCAACCCCGGCGAGGATATCGAAATTCGATCCTACATTTCCGCGCCCATCGGAGTGACGCCCGAGCGCTCAGAGGACAGCTGTCTTTTCTTGCCCGTTCCGTACGAGCTCAAGTATGGTGAGGCGGAGAAGAGCGGTCTGGAATTGATATCACTGGCAAAGGACCGAGAGGACCGAAGTCAAGCGACGTTAACGGATGTTGAATCGCTGGAGAAGTCAATAGTCCAGGTGTTGGACCTCCTCGACCGTGTTTCTAATTACGTGAACAATGTTCTGGACGAAGAAGCCACACCATCCCAGGCGGTCGGTCAATATCTATTGAACGCGCTCTCTCTCGCACCGAAAGTTGACCCTGCCAATATTGAGCGGGACTTGTAAGTCCCCGGATTCCGCATACGTGTGCCACTGCTAACGTACCCCCAGCAACAACCATATCCAAGACGTTCTGGTCATCGCCTACCTCGCGAACACGATCCGGACGCAGATCGATCTGTCCAATCGCCTGGCCACTGCTGCGCTTACGGCCGCTGCTACGGAGGGCATTGGTGGACCGGGCGGGGAGTCAGGGGGCCATCAGAAGGGCGGCCAAGATGGACGGAGAGGCGGCCGGGGTCGAGGGCAGAATCGACGGACGGAGGAGTGATTTCCGAAAGCGCCGGTCAGAAGGACGGCGGAAAGGAATGCCGAGGGTCTGCGGCAGAACTGCATTCAACGGCCCACTAGGCGTTCCGGATATTTCGGAGGACTGCATGAATCGTAGATTGGTGTATTCTATGCATGATGCCTCTGTCATGATGATACGCTCACCGTCAGCGCTGTACAGAAGGCGCTGGCTTAATGCTTCAATGAAAAAAGCATTTCCAACAAGCATTTCCAGACAATCCCACCCCCGTGGATCATCTCAACGTCGGTCCTCTCTTCCGTGCTCCACGGCCAATGACTCTCGAGCGAGAAATCCCCATCTCTACCATCCATGGTAGCTAGTACTCTATGGTGTTCCAAGACAGTTCTTGATCACCGCTATTTCGAAAGGCCTCCTCATCCGCGGCCGGGGATTTACAATGTTTCGTGCTGTAGCTCCCCGCCACTTCAACGCTCCACCTTCACCCGTTTGGCCGCCCGATCCTCCTTCTTCCCCTCCCCCTTCCCCAGTTTCCCCTCATCCACGTCGAACAACCGCTTCTCCCTCTGCAAGTCCTTCTGCTTGTTGAGCAACTCCACCACACGGCCCAGCTTCTTCGGGTCGCGGCGCAACGCGAACTTGAAGTCGTCCACCTTGATCTTCGACCGTCGGCTGTATGAGGCGCAGAGGGCAGCAGCGTGGCATGTCTCGATGACATAGCTGTGGGAACGGTGAGCGGAACGGGCCAGATGGACCTAGCGACTTGGCTGGGTGAGGAAGAGGGATCGCTTACTCGACTATGATTTCATCGAGGACTTTGACGGTTTCGGGCAAGGGATTCCGGTCGTCGCCGAACGCGTAGAGGTATGCTTCCACTAAACGATGAACTAGGTTAATAGGGCCTCTCCGGACTTGAGGACTGGCTGTGGAGGGTACACGTACAATCGGCAACGGGGAACTGTTGTCCTTTGTGTCGCGGTCGCATTCGAGGCTCCATCTTGACGGGTTTCACGGTTGGTGTATGATGTATTCTTCTGGTGGTATTCGTAGTTGGGAAGGCTTGTACACCGGGTGTAGTGTAGGTAGTATCTCAAGCAACCTGGAATGTAGATATCACTGTACGTCTGCACCGCTCTAACATGACTAACCAGACGCCAGGGCTTTCTCCAGCCACATGCACCGCCACATATGGTCCTTGCACGTGCCTTTGTTCTCCAGAATCCAGACTGACGTCCACAGCAACCAAACTGTCCTTCCAGAACCAGACTGCAAGGCACACCATATGGGCGCAATTGTCCAGAGTTCGGACAGAATCCCCGTCTTGTCAAGCATCCAATTTGATCATGGAAAGCAAGAAGCAACCCTCCATCTACTAGATTCACCACCTACGGTCCCCTTCCTTCCACGCAGACAGACATCATGGTATGGAAACCCAGTGGGTGCATAGGCAACACAGCTAACTTTCCGTCCCTGATAGACGGCCATCTTCAACTTTCAGAGCCTGCTGCTCGTTATCCTCCTGATGATATGCACCTCTACTTACATCCACTTTCACTTCCCCGGCATCATGGACCGGAATAAAGATCAGTACGTCGACCCTGTCCGTGCGATGTTGCGTGTGGGCTGATCCGACGTCACAGTATGATCACGGGGTTCTTCTGGAAATGCGCACGAGTGGGGGAGCGGTTAAGCCCATACGTGGCGCTATGTTGCTTGTTGATGGCGGTGAGTCGATCTGGCGGAGTGGATGGGTTTCCCGTTCACTAGAATATGATGCGGGGCGCTGACGATCCGATGGCGATAGGGTTCGTTGCTTTTCTAGTCGTGCTGCGAGGGCTTGAGGAGTTGAGGCGCCGCACGGATTGGAGGTGGGGTGGGGCACGGAACTACGATTTATACCTTTGCCAGGGGCATGCGGAAGGCGGAGACGCTCGAGGATCGTTCGCAACCTCCATACAATGACAGGACAGATGCTTGGATCATCGTGATGGGATGCTGGGGTGGGCCGAATCGGCGTCGAGCGTACTGGCGTGTCCACGGTCTTACAACAGTACCGCTACAGGTCGGAGCACAGAGGAAGCTTGGAGACGCAGGGCCAAGTTGTGTGATATTGCTCGCAAGCGTGCTATGTACAGGAGCCCTCGCTCTAAGACGTTCGGTCTTGGGCGAAGCCTTTCGAGCAGGGGAACGGTAGCAATCTCAAGCGAGCGAAATAAGAGTGTTACAATTCTATGATCCAACAGTAAGAAATAAGAGTGAAGAGCGGTTTGATTCTCGGCGTCGAAGACATGGACGGGCGGAGTTAGAGGACATAGAAGACATCTACCTTCCGCGCCATCGCCCCAGAATCGTCCTTTTAACCAGTCAAATGGCCCGAGAAGTCGAACGCCGTTGGGGGCTCGAGAGCGATAAAACATGACAACCGACCGTAAAATAACAGGATGAGAAGACCACCATACCCAGGCCTCCCATGTTTCCATCCGCTCCCAATCTATTGTGACACGCGCTAGAACTCAAATCAGACAACCCTCCGACCCATTTTCGCACCTTTTCCCGTGATTGATTCAGAACGCCACTGTTAGAACAAGACATAATAGAACCCAACTTTTTCGCGTGTGCGGAATGCGTTCGAGGATCTATCATGGCAGCAACCGAAAGAAGACAGGACGAATGAAAAACAGAGCAATACAAAACAACGGAATAATACAAGGTTTGAAAGAGGAATTCGGACGGGGTGACAGAGACAACCATCATCTATCCCCTTTCCTCGAGCCGGTCCCACGATGACGACCAATTCGGTTCAGGCCGTTTCCACGGTCGATATCACTGTGATCCTCGATGTCGACGTCCATCATGTCGGTCTCTTCCTCGTCGGTATGCCCATGAGAAGAGGCATTGTAATCCTCGTCGTCATCATCTTCATAGTCGCTGACGAGCCCGGGATTGGATTCAACCGTATTTGGACTCAGATCAACTTCATCTTGGCGCGGCGAGTCAGGATCGTCGCCTGCTGCACGATCGGAATACGTGCCTGGACTCGCCAAGCGTGGACGAACACGATTCGAATTTTGTTCCTTTCCTCCATGATATGAAACGCCTCTAGTAGAAGCCGCAAGGGGCCGACGCGAGACCGTCTCCGGCGTGTCACTCCCCATTGTGCGGGACGCGGTTGGGGAGATAGCGACGCCTTTCTTGGACCCTTTACTGGCGTTCAACTTCGGTGGCACCCGTTTGACCTTGTTGGGGATCGAGACAACCTCCTGGCCCGCTTCGGCTTCATCTTCACTAGGTTCGTAAGATACCGAGTCCTCGTATCGGATGGTCGCGTCCGCGACGAATTTGCTCAAATCGCCAGAAAAGCCACGGTTCTTGAGAAGCGAGTTGAGATGGGGCGTCTGGTGAGAAGGCCGGAAGCTGGATAACGAGGATGACTCTGAAACCTTTCGGGTTTGCTTTGCGAATTTCTTGGGATCGGCGCGGAGTCCGTCGAGGACTTCTTGCATGAGCGTAGGCATGGGTGGACGGTTCGGTACGTTCTTGATCAGCGGGTGGACCAACGGCTTGTCAAGGTGGGTTATCGGTTTCGCTGCAGTCTCTTTTGGAGTTGCCATCAGGGGAGACGGCGTAGGCGCACCAGCGGCAACCGCCTCAGACTCGTCGATTTCCTTCCCGCAGGCGATTGCAGCGGCTTCATGACTTCGGAACCCATAGTGATGCTGGATTCGATAGTGATTAATGAACCCTTGCACATTCGCGAACTGATCCTTGAGACACTTGTTGCAGGCCAGTCGCACGAGCTTCCCATCCGCCTGTCGTCGGAAGACCAACGGATCCCTTGGCGGTCCGGTGGGAGTCTGATCTCCAGGGCCAAACGCTGACTTGGATCCGGTCGATTGCCGTGAGGGTCGAGAAAATCCAGAGAAGGCCATCTCTCCCCCACTCCCACGCGTGGTTCGTCCATCCACCGTCGATCTTCGAGTTTCGGAATCCCGAGCTGACAGGGGTTTCGGGATGTACTGCACAGGATGTGAATCGAAAGACGGGTCCTTGAGGAGCCACGCAGCGTAATGTCGAGAATACGGACCATCCGCAACACCCCATGGTGCAGGGAAAGATGGCCGAGTATGACCGGGCGGCGGTCGCAACGAGGGACCTTTGCCATCCGTCACACTCTCGGAAAATCCTTGAAGGCCTGGATATGGGATGATGCGACAGCGGCGGAGCTGTTCAAGCGCCGCCTGACATTTGGCCATCTCCTGGTCGATGCGACGGAGCTCCTCATGTTTCATCATGATCTCCAAGTCGAACTGCGCTTCAATAACCCGCTGTGCCTTTGTCATCTTGTCCACGTTGATGCCGTACGGCTCCGAATCGGCTGGACCATCTTGGGTCGCTTTGGTTTCGTCGATCGGGGTGGACGGTGTGGATTCGAGCGCATTCGAGCGCGACGAGCCCGAGTCAGTCGATTCGGCGCCTGCGACAGCTTGCTGAAGGGGAAGATTCGCTGCGTTCGGGGTGGATCCATCGGTCGCGCCGTTGACGTAGAGGCGTTGGAGAGGCGATGCGCCGTTTACACGCGATATGCCATCCATAGATCGATTCGTTGCACCCATCTTGGCCGCGCGATTCACATGCGCATGAGGCGACGGTCGAGAAGGTTTGCATTTCTTCAACACAGGACTGTCGCACCAGGAAGTCGCGCCGGGGCTGCTGCCGAGCTCGGATGCCTTGCGCTTGCCCTTGCTTATAAAGGGAATCTCGACGATCGGTTTCTGTCGCGGCTTCTGGTAGGCGAGAGCGTCGACGGCGGTGCGATCAACGGTCGGCTCCGTACTCCACGGAAGGCGGAAGATGGACTGCATCCTGTGATGCGACGAAGCGGAAGGAGCAGCGAGCGCGCAAGGCGATCATCTGCAAAAACAGGAAAGGGCCGATGGAGGCGGCGAGGATGTCACTGCAAGTTCCAGAGGGAGCCAGACAAGCACGCAGGGCAGGCGCGACCGAGGATTGCGCACAGGAGGGAGGCGCAAATGAGGCTCGGCAAAAGGCAAGAGACAGGCGCGGGTTTAGACAGCAGGAGGCAGCTGAGTGGCTGAGCCGCAGAATCGCTGGGTCGTCGTGGGAAGGGACGACCGATCGGAATGGAACGGCATGCGCGACCGACCGGCGAATGAGAAGCGGCAAAGGTGTTGGTTGGCGGACCAAACAAACACGAAATCCGCAATCTGCGTCACAAAGGTCCGAGCTGGCGTCGATGGGAAGGGCCTCAACTCAAGAGTTAGGCAATCTCAAGTTTCAACTCCAAGGCAACACATGTAAATGTAAAAGAGCGTGACGAAAGGTTTTTTCGAAAGGGCGGTGCAGTGGTGCAGAAATGCGCCACACTCACTCGCAGCGTGGATAGAATGAGAAGGAAGGGAGCCGATGGCGACTCTTCTCATGAAACAAGTGGACGTCAATGAGGCGACCGGGCGAGGGCCGAGGATGGACAGGTAGCAGGCACTCAGAAATCGGGTGAAGCAGCTACAGTGCTTGTGTGATGCTGATGAAGAGTGACCAACCGTCGGACCTGGACCTAGAAATGTCGAAGCGCCACACAAGCGCAACTCCAAGTGTGCAGGTGAATGTGTAGGCTGCGTCGCAAGTTGTAAAGGGAAGGAAGTGAAAAAGGGCCGTGGTGGCGAGTTAAGGTAATTAAGAGAATTTGAAGGGGAAAGATCCGGGGAGGTGAAGGGAAAAAGAAAGCAAGACCGTGAAAAAGGTACGGTTGCGGGAAGTGAAATGGTGATGCAGTGGTGAGTTGGTGAGTTTGGTGACTGATGGGAAGAGTTGGGGAGAAGGATGGGAGTGGAAAAGAAGGGGGAATCGGAGGAAAGAGGGATCAGGAATGGGGGTGGGCGACGGGCGTTGCGCGACGCGGCGACGGGGAACTGCAAAAGCCCAAATGAGAGTTATGTGATGTGAGGGAGCTGGACCAAAGCCCTGGACTCTTGGACGGACGGTTGGATGGTTGGACGGTTGGACGGTTGGACCGGAGCTCTGCTGGAGTGTGGAGTGCGTGGACGACGGTGCCAAGGTGTTCCAGGGGTGGATCGGGTTCACACTTCACAGGTTGCGAGTTGTGAGTTGCGTCTGAAGATGACACAGCCAATCCAAGATTCATGAATGAGAGCTTTCTGACAAGAAAGACAGGCACTAGAACTGTAAGCCGAAGTGTTGAACGGGGACCATCGGGGCGGGGGGTTATGGCCTATGGGTGCCTGTTCTGTGCGCCCCAGATCGAACTCTGCAAAAAACAATAACATGAAGCAAGTTCTCCTCAAGCACCAAGGGCCTAAAGCGTTCAAGTGCGCCCCCCCAAGTTAATATTCGCCTTAGCGGCTTAGCACCTCCTAAATTTCATTATTTTCATGTCTGGTAGCCAGCAGCCCGGAATATCAGAGCGCAGAGCCAAGAAAAATAATAATGCCACCAAATCAGGCTGCTTTGTCACGTACAGTTGACAAAGCTTTAAGCTACAACGTACAAGATGAGTTGCCTTCCCATCAAATCCGTCATGCGAGCGGAGATGCTATTTCATATTTGTCTCACCCCTATGCTTGTCGTACCAGGACTGTGTCCTTGGAGCGCCTGATGTTCCACCCAAAGTCCATCATGTTTGCTGTTCCATGATTGATCTCGACCTCCCATAATAGCATTGGAACCCAAACCTTGCCCTTTCATACATAGTAGAGGCTTATATTCCACCTTACATACTGTACAGTGTACTTATGTCATACGATAGTCCACGGCGATACTACCTGACTCGCGGCCATCAAACCGATTCAGAAAGGAAATTAAACATGATTGATCGAACCTCCTTGGCTGGCAATCACCATCCTATTCCGCAGCTCCCCGCAACTAACGTGAAGCGGATCAAGCGGTGCCGTTTGCGGGCCCTTTCACTTTGCCTTGTCCTACACGTCATTGACGGGATATACATACCAATCACGCTTCTATCCGAAAGGGACGATCGCGATGGCGACACATTCCCGAATAGCGACTTTCCCTGAATCTTAGCTGCTGAATCAGTCAGGCTCTGTCGGCCCTTATCTCTCTCTCACCTCATCCTCCGCGTCGTGCTTGTATTATTAGCTGCTTCTGTCATTCTCTCACTAGCCTCAGTTCTGAACTGGACTCTGCTGGAGCCTGGATGACACACCTGTGGATCTTTTTGCGGGGCAGTGGCAGCGCATGCCCCAACTGGAGCGGAAACACGATCGCGAGAATCGAAGCCTTTGCAGCTGTAAGTTTGGGCAGAATCACTGTACTCGTTCTATTTGAATGGCTACGTTGAGGAGCAATATGTAGTAGCTAAATTACCGGTAAGTACAGGCAGCTGGGTCTGGTATCAATTGTGGTGATGCACAAGATCCGGAAATTTTAAGTGAGATGAAATTGGAGGAGGCAAAAGAGCGATCAGTGATAAGATAAAGGCATCAAGGCATGAAGGCTTGTTTGCGTCTGTCACGTGCAATACCAGATGTCAACATATCCGTCATGTCTGATAATGGACGCTGTGCATACCTGTTAGATCATGTAGGCATATCTGACGGTCCTGGAAACCTTAAAGTTGTTTCGAGTGTGAGTTAGCCTAAAGGAATCGGTTCTGAAGGGCCAGAGGTCATGGAAAGGTTCAATTATTTCTGCCTCTCTAGTGCTTGATGTGCTTCCAAGTAGTGATTGATATCTCCTGAGAACAGACTGGTCCTTGGGATCCTTTAATATAAACTGTGGAGACATGTGCTGCACTTTGTAGCATCTCGAGTTGCTCTAGGCAACTACCGTCATCCAATCTCCTACGTCCGGAAGACCTCCTGTAGAGCATCGTATCCTGAACAGCAACCTCCGTGAGAAAATGGGATTTGCATCGGTAGTAAGCAGTGGCAAAGATGAACAATGAAGTCTTGACCACTATAATCAGGTTTGATTGGTTGTCTGCTTTCTATACGTGACCTTTTCGACGCCCACAGTTTCGACCCCATTCGCATCCTTCCGAAGTTGGTATACATAAAGGACAAGCACATCCCCTTGCACCTAGAACGATTTGTCAACAACAGCATCACAGCGTAGTCAACACTGCAACAGCATCATGCAGAAGTAGAACGTGGAAACTTACATCCATCAATACGAAACTCGGTGTTGGGTCCTCTTTCTCCGCCCACCATCCCGTCGTCATGGCACCTGTTGCACTCCCCGGGTTCACGAAGAACTTCCCTTCCAACTCGTAAGCCTCGAAGCGATGTGTACCGCCCCATAGGAGGATATCGACGTCCATCTGGCGCGCTGCAATCAGCAGGCTGTCCGGGTCGCCCTGCGGGATGATGGTGTGGCCATGCGTGAAACCGATGCGAAGCGAGCCATGCGTGACGACTTTGGAGAGTGCAAGGTTGGGTGCCTCGACATCGTAGTCGCCTTTGACGATGTGTAGCTCTGGGGCGATGCCGCGGAGGAAGTCGTAGGTTTCCTTGTCGGTCAGATTGCCCAGGCAGAGAATTTGGCCGATCTTGCCGGGCGCGAGGAGGCGTTTAAACTGGAGGGAAACGGATCGTCAATTCTGGAGGACATCATGCATGCTGCAATCGGTGGTGGTCCATACCTTTGACGGGATATCCTGCTCACGGGTCAGAAATTCCACTCAAGTGATGGGAGGGATGATACGCACAGCGGCCCGGTCTGGGATGAAGAGGTCACCTAGACATAGTACCAGTCTCGAAGACATGCCTGATTACGGCAGGGTCTCAAACGAATTGAGAGCGAAGTGGGGAGACTGGAGACGCCTTTGTTGAGTACAAGGCGTCGAAGATTTGATAGACCATCCGTCAGATCAGACCTCCATGTGTGAGCTCCTGCGGCTCCCATGTCAAGGTGAACGTGAAGCTGTCGAACCGCAGGGCAGAAGCCTCGCAGGGGTGGGCATGTGGCTTCGAGCTTGGCGGATAGGGTATACAGTACATGAGTCACGTGTGACGTGATTGAGTTTCCAGCAGGCTGGCTAATCGAGGCGAGGCGTCGCGAGGCCCTCGCCTCGCCTCGCCTCGTTCCTCGATCAACCCGTCGCGAGGCAGTCGGTATATCTTCGGATAATTAATAAGCGGGTTGGAAAGGTCTCGCTAGACCCATTTGGTCCTATTCTACCAATCTTTCATCATCTCAGTCCGTATCTTCTGGATGTGACCCAGATTCTATGGGATTTGGTGAGCTCATTAAACATTCCAGCTGGAGTCATGAATATTGAGGAGGTTTTGGTCAAATCCAAAGCCAATATATGTATAATATCAAGATTACTCTCAACGTATAGAATCGATATCAATATGTCGTCTTTACAGTCGTCTCTACCATCGTTTTCCTCCTCTTTTTCTGAGTATGCTCCTGACCCCGGCGGAATAGGAGATTTCACGCCTGATCCAGAGTTTCTCCGTGAATACGGTCTCTCCCTCGTGAAAGAGTATCATCGCTTATCTAGCCCGCGAAAGCGAAGCGTTGTATGGGACTGGGGATTCGTCGCTCGCAGAGTAGACGAGGAGGAAGATATTCCATATTGGGTCTGCTATATCTGTTGGCGAAGGGCTCGATCCAACCTCGATTTAAAGCTCTATAGGGTCGGCGCGACGTCGTCTGCACGAGACCATCTTATAAGAGATCACTCTTTCTTGAGCCGTGGATCACAGGTAATCCCTCCTGGATCTCGTGAATCGTGGGCTCTCCATCACCATTCTCTGCCTCTCCGGAATGGGCTCTTGAATGTCAATGCGGCGTATTTAAAATGGGTGATCCTCGACGGTATACCATTTCGCCAGGCCTCTTCTGTGGCACACAACGGATTGATGGAATCTTTGAGCGGTGGAGATCCACAGCTCAGAGTAAAGAACCACCAATCCGTATACAATAGGGTGGCCAAGGTATACGAAGAATGCCTTGTTCTTGTGTCCCATACACTTTCGCGTGCATCCAGCAAGATATCGTTGTCGTATGACATCTGGACGTCTGCGACCGATATACCCTTCTTTGGTATCGAGGCCCATTTCATCTCCGGCGGTGAAACACCACGCCAACGGAATACCCTCCTCACTGTGGAAGAGGTTCAAGGAGCTCATACAGGGCGAAATCTATCACGGATCATGAAAAACACCGTACAGGCGTATAAGATCAAGGAAAGGATCGCTTACTTGATGTCTGATAACGCAGATAATAACACCACGGCGGTAGAAGAGCTTGGAAATATTACTAATATCCCGGTCTCTGGAAAACGGTTACGATGCGCCTGTCATATCGTTAATTTGATATGCAAACAGCTATCTACCGACCATTTGGCTGGCACGGACAACGACGAGTCAGATGGCCTTCAATGTACGCAGGACAGTGGCATTCCTGGCCATCCAGGACAGAATCTTCGAAGTCCTACGCTTCCAACGAATGTCGATGTGGTCTCCGTTGAACGCCTCAAGTCTATCATTACCCATATCAAAAGTAGCTCGAAACGTGAGCAAGAGTTCTTGACGATCCAAACCACTATTTTAGAGGGTATGGTCGATCAATCTCAGCGACGTCGCGATCAGCCTCTCCGTATTATCCGTGAAAACCAGACACGGTGGAATACAAGATACGACTCGATTAGTCGTGCTCTCCGTTTACGCGCTACAATTGATCAGTACTGCGCAAGACACGCCTCTCTCCAGGGGCTTACAGGGGCTGATTGGGCTGTTCTAGAAGAGCTCCAAGCGATTTACCACCCCTTCCTTATTCGCTCCAAAATCCTAGAAAGTAACGCTGAGGATGGTGCTGAAGGAGCTCTTTTCGAATCTTACCTCGTTATCCACTTGATCGTGAAAGATTTAGTCTCTTTGATCGCGGAGATACCGAGGCGACCGGTTCTCCAGGAGCTCGCATCGCCTCTACAGAGAGCCCTCTCTAAGGCGATGAAATACCAACTTAAAATGAGGGACCCGCAGACTCCTGCGTATATGCTCGCGGTATTGCTTCATCCACGATATAAGAAAAGGTTCTTCGATCTCAAGGAACCGAAAAACCCTAGCACGGCTCAAGTCATTACTAAATTACGTGAGTCTGTCGCCACGTTACGGCAAGATATATCCGTCCCAGAGAGCTCTTCGTCAACGGATCATACCGTGCGGAGCGCCTACCAGGACTTCTTAGGTTCTTGGGGGCCTGGATTTGAACCACAGGAAATCTCCTCCGTGGATGAGGTTTCTGAATATCTCAACGAGCCTCAGGAGAAGATGAAGGCCCCTATGGAATGGTGGATTGCTAATCGTACGCGATTTCCAGCTCTCTATAGGATCGCTATGGACCTTTTTGCCACTCCAGCATCCGCCGCGGATATGGAGCGGATATGGTCCTCCTGTGGGCGACTCCTGGACACAGAGAGAGCCCGTATGAACGCGAAGACGTTGAGGAAGTTGGTGTGTCTACAGCATTGGTTTAGAAATGGTATTATTAGTGATCTTGATCTCGAGAAGATCGTCTTCTCACAAGCGAATCTAGCGGTGGATAATGACGACGACGAGGAGGAGGAGTCTAGCTAGGAGAATATAGTATGCGATCTTCACCACCACCGTCTTTACCATCCTCCTCACCGTGATATCGACCTCTGTATGGCATACAGGATTACGGAATTTCATCTTTGGTACGCTCAACCATGGTTCCAGCAGGCGTCGCGAGGCGGTTTAGTATGCAATCGAGGCGAGGCGAGGCGAGGCGCTTAGTCATCCCTCGCGACGCCTCGCGACGCCTCGATTAGCCAGCCTGGTTTCCAGAGCCCCAGCGCGGTTTTATGCCTCGGCGCCTGAGGACTGAATATCGGACCTCGCCAACACCCCGTCATGCTCTGTGCTGCTCATGGTCTACTCACTGTCGGCTGTCGACCAACAGTCCATACCTCCAATATAATAATGATTGAAGACTGCAAAAGAAAGAAGGCCTCGCGGAACCTCCCAACATAATTCCAGGTGTGAAAGAGTATTCCGCCTTCTCATGGGCGATATCCAGGCGTCCGATGCTTCCGTACCTCACAGTCCGACCCTCTCCTCCTCCCCTTGACAAATTGACCATAATATAAATGCTTAACTAAGTTAGTGCTACCTAAGATAAGCCGATCGATTCCCGTCATAAGTGGCTCTTTTGGTCCTTTCACAGTGATACAACTCGCGCGAATGGAAGAAACCAACTGAAAGTCCATCCCTGCGCAACATTGCGAAATCGGCCACCAGGAACCATACGCCATACAGTCATCAGAACCCCGACATCACCCCGCGGCTACAGTTAAGTTAGGGACCATGAGACCACTGTATCAGAGACTCAATTTCTTCAACATCTCTCGACAACGTGCCACCACCTTCCATTACTCCCCTCAATCGCCCATTGCTCGACGATATCAATCCACTACCTCCAAAACAGCCACAACGTTACCATCCAAAATGTCTTCGCAACCGCCCCATTCCACGTTACTGATCCCCGGACCGGTGGAGTTCGACGATGCCGTTCTCCAGTCCATGTCCCATTTCAGGTACACCAAGCCCCCCTTCGGTCACCTATACTGTGTCTAACAGTGTGCAGTGAATCTCATGTCGGCGCACCTTTCGTCGGCGTCTTTGGCGAAGCCCTGACGATGCTCCGCAAGCTGTTCCAAACCTCTGACCCCGCTTCCCAGCCCTTTATCATCTCTGGCTCAGGCACTCTCGGCTGGGACCAAGTGGCATCCAACCTGACGGAGCCGGGCGAGGATGCCCTGGTCCTCCACACCGGGTATTTCGGAGACTCGTTTGCCGACTGCTTCGAGACGTACGGCGTGCGCGCGACCCAGCTCAAGGCCGCGATTGGAGACCGGCCGCAGCTGGATGAGGTGGAGAAGGCGCTGAAGGAGCGAAAATACAAGGTCATCACGGTGACGCACGTCGATACGTCGACGGGGGTGCTAAGTGAACTCAAGAACCTGTCGGAGACGGTGCACAGGGTCAGCCCCGAGACGCTGGTGGTGGTGGATGGCGTGTGCAGTGTGGGATGCGAGGAGATTCGGTTCGACGATTGGGGAATTGATGTGGTTCTGACCGCCAGTCAAAAAGCCATCGGCTGCCCGGCGGGTTTGAGTATCCTCATGGCCTCCGGCCGCGCGATCGAGACGTTCAAGAACCGGAAATCTAGACCCTCCTCGTATTTTGGGTCCTGGAAGAATTGGCTGCCCGGTAAGTGGTTGACATCCGCCCCATGCGCTTTTGCTAACCTGCTTCAAAGTTATGCAAAATTACGAAGCCAAGAAGCCATCGTACTTCGCGACGCCGTCTCCCCAGCTCGTCCGCGCTCTGCACACGACGCTCACCCAGATCCTTTCCAAGCCGCTTGAGGACCGATATGCGGCACACGCGGCAGCATCCCGGAAGGTGAAGCAAGCGGTCGCCGATATGGGACTGAAGCAGATCGCATCCAAGCCGGAAAACCAGGCCAATGCGATGACCGCCATCTACCTTCCCGAAGGAGTCAAACCCACCGATGTGCTTCCCAAGCTCGGCCAAAAAGGTGTCGTCTTTGCCGGTGGTTTGCACAAGGAAATCGCTACGAGGTACATCCGATTCGGTCATATGGGCGTCAGTGTCACGGACCCGGACCGAACGGATATCGACCACGCTATCGAGGCGCTGAAGTCGAGTTTGTAGGACGTCAAATGGAAGCATAGCCATGTTCTATGTATAAGTGTGGGAATGCGTGATACATAAAAAGTGGTCGGTTTTCGGCGACTCCCGAAAGGGCTTCATTCTGGCATTATATAGGACGCCGTAGATATAGACGGGTTTATCCTCATACCTCGTACATGTCATTCAACACCCATCCCGACATCATGATATACAAACAATTCCCGCATTCAATGCTCCGGGACGGCAATGGCGTCCTTGCAAAGGATCACCACCTTCTTGAACAACCGCCGCCACTCCAGAGGGTCACCCTTTTTCTTCAGGAATCGGACCTCCAGCAGCTCATTGTTATATCGCTCCACCAAAATAGCTCCCGCCAGAGCCTGCTTCCGTCCGTCGATGGTCTTGACTTCGACGACGGCTCCACTGTCCGTGATTCGTTCCGTTGCCGGTATACCCAAGCGATGCATTGCCTCTTTAAGCAGAGGGAGAAGCAGCGTCAGGGATCGGGGCGAGACGAATCGAGTGAGGGAGAACGATGGCATGATGTCCTTGAAATGCCTCGCCTGCTGGGTCAGCGTCAAGGGGACGGCGGGCGTAGCGGTGAATTGCGACAGCGACGGATCTTCGGCTAGGTAGCTCAGGAGCGAATGCGAGATCGTGCCGCCGCTTCGGATATCGGTCGGCTGGCTGAGACTCACGCCCTCCTGGAAGTGAGGCACCCGTTCCCAGTCCAGTGACATCTCCCCGACCAGTGTCTCGGGCTGCGTCATGCTGATTTGTGGTTGGTCCATGTCCATGGCGTCCATTCGATGCGGTGTGAAAGTCGGCTTGGAGTCGAAGTCAATGTGTAAGGATTCGAGCATTTGCGTCGCCAGCACCACCGGATTCGCGATCCTCCCACGCGCGTCGAGGTAAGGGTTCCGCTCCGTGAACCAAGGATGGGTCCGGACCTCTTGCAGCGAGAAGCGTTGGGCACTGTCAAGCTTCAACATGCCTCTCAGTAAGGACGTGACCGAGGAGTCCAGTTTCGTCCATAGCTCGTCCGTCGTTCGTCCCTCCAATTTGACGAACTCCATGAACTCGTAACTGTTCATCGTCGGCTCATCCCACGGCGTGTTGCCGACCAGGAGGACAAACAATACGATTCCGCATGACCAGATGTCCACCTTATCGGCCTGGTACCCCGATTCTAGCTCGTTTCCTTTCTTGTTCGACCTCTGGGCCAGGACTTCCGGCGCGATGTAGGGCGGGCTTCCGCAAACCGTCGTACACCGCTTTTCGATATTCCGGTGCCGAAACAAAGTGGCTAGTCCAAAATCCGCGAGCTTCAGATTCCCCCCGCCGGACAGCAAGATATTCTCCGGTTTCAAGTCGCGATGCGCGATCCCCTTGTCGTGCATATAGCTGACCGCATTGATCAACTGGGTGAAGTACAGGTGTGCCACCCGGTCCCCCACGCCTTCATCAGCCTCGATCTTGTCGAACAGATCGCCGCCTTCAGCCAGCTCCATCTGGATCCATAGCCAGCTCGGATCGCCTCCGAAACCGATGCATTCTATGATGTTCTGGTGCTTCCCCAGGTGCTTGTGCAGGATGACTTCGTTTTCGAGCTTCTTTTGCGTCAATCGTCCGATTCGGAAGGCTTGTTCTTTATTGATAAATTTGACGGCGATGATGGGTTTTACGTCTTTGAGGGGACAGGCTTTTCGGATGCTACAAGAGTTCGGTTAGAAACGCGTTTTGATCCCCAAGTCTCAACGGGATCAACCTACAATGCGTATGCTCCTTGCCCAATAGTTCCAGAAACGAGGCGGAAGGGGAGGTTGATTGGTTCCTCGACTTGGCTCTGAAGATACATTAGAAGAATGTTAGAGATGTCATCGCAAGCGTTGCGTAACTTACTCCCAGGGGCGCCATTGAAGTACGTACTTACCGGTATTTGATACCATCGATGGAAGATAAACACAGGGCAAGTGGTTCGTGGTGGGGAGACGCGCCGACAAAGTCAACCGTTGACGCGGTCGTTGTGGCTATCGGGGGCTTTGGGGCCCTGGCTGGGGCGGATCTTTGCTGGGATTCGGGGGGTTGGTGCGCCACCCGCCCGCAATCCAGGGAGAGATCTTGATGCCACATCAGATGAAGTCTGGCTTCAGTTTGCGAATCTACAGATCGCCGGACAAAAATTTAGGGGAAAGATATCATAGCTTCACACGGTTGCACAAGGGTGCTGAAGGTTGCACAACATATTAATTTACAGCTACTGATAAGGAGGTACTTAACTACTTAAAGTAGCAGACTGCCCCTTCTGTCATTCATCAGGTGTAAAGCAGACCATGATAAACGTATCAGTCACGATCATGGTCTGGAGCAAAGCCATACTGCATACTATAGTAAGTACTGTAGATGGCAATTATATACCTGTATTCTTCTCGGTGGTCTCATGGTGTCTGTACATTAAACTAGATTGTGATTCAATGATACCTTCGTCGCTCGAAGGCCAGATGAACTCCTGGACCAACGCCTTGACACCACCACCGCCACCACCAAGTACAAAGTAAAGTACCACTACTATCCATACATGCCTTTAGGCACGTCATATGCACATCCGAGGTCCAATTATTACAGTACATCCCGATATCCAAACTCTTGATGGGTTCCTTTCCCCCTGGGAATGTGGGAAGGGTATGCAGAGAGATGATGCATTTAAAACACTGCCAGTTATCCATCATAGGTCAGTCATCTCCTAGTAAGTTCGTGCAACCTCCGACAGCTCTTCATATCGAACTGCCGCGCTCTCTGCATCTTCTCTTCATCCTGGAAGAACCAGCCTTGCGCATCCTGCACCAACCGCTCCCGCTGCTGCGTCTCGATGTTGCACTCGGAGTGCAGCTTACCCACGTAGCGCGTCTCGGCATGCTTATCCAGGTCCCGCCATTGCCGCCGGCCAAAGTCTTGAACATCTCGAGGATTGACGTAATACGGAACCTTTAGGTTCGACGAAGTGTGCTGCATCGTATAGGGTGGGGAGACAGAGTCGAAGCGAACTTGCGGGCCTGATGGTTCGGAGTTCCCGCTAAAAATGGAGGAAAGGAGGGGGAGGACGAAGAGGAAGAGAAGAGGGAGGAGAGACGTGAGGGTGCTGTAGGCGCTGGGTGCGGGTTCGTTCTGAGCTCCATTCGCACGCCGCCGAGGTCTTCCATTATTGAACTGATGGACTCGGATCCCCGGTCCTCCTCCCATGTTGAAACTGAAAACGGGGCCGTCGAAAAAGTCGCCTCCTGGAACTTTTGGTAAGCGGGGGTTATAATTTGATAGGGGTGCGATATGCACATACCGAATCCTCCGCCGCCAAATGCGCCACCGCCGCCGAAGAACTGCCTGAACATTTCCTCCGGTGATATCTCCTCCTCGAACATGGAGCCGCCTCCGCGTGCGCCTGGTGATCGCGCGAACCCGCTAAAGGGGGACGTCGCTGGGCCGCCGCCGCCTCCGAATCTGCTGTCGGGATCCCCGCCGAACTTGTCATATTTGGTCTTCTTGTCTGGATCGGATAGGACTTGAAATGCCCTTGAGACCACTGCGAAAGCATCAGTCAGCTTGGACGACTTCCTTATCGGAGACGATTGCCAATACTCACTTTTGAAAGCCTCATCCGCGCCATCGTAGCCGTTCTTGTCGGGGTGAGTTAGTAAACTTAACTTCCGGTAGGCTTTCTTAATATCCGAGTCCGAACACGACGCGCGGACTTCCTCCAGCCCCAAGATATCGTAATATCCTGTTGCTGCACATTTCCGGACTCTTATGACGGCGGTCTTCTGCTCCGCGGTAAATGCCCTCCCGGCGCTGCCATCGTGATGTGCTCGGTGCTTTGCGTCGCCATTCGGAGTCGCATTCGACCCGGTGGCCTTTCCCGACATTACTAGCGGCGACCCTGGAAGTTATAGCCCGCTACAAACGCTCGGGAGTTCGAAGATTGCGTTTGATAATCGGTTGGGAACGGAAGTCGAGGCGCTGGTGCAAGGTACGGAATCGAATCGTGGGCTTTAAAGACAGTTGTCCATATGGCATAAGAGGGGTGGACACAGGGTTTGCGGGTCGGGGTGTGGTGATAAGTCCTTTTCGGAGTTATGGATGAGTCCAGATTGCATATCGCAATGAGGATTGTTCGTCAGTTGTTGTCACTCCAGTCCAACGTTGCGCCACCTAACACTCCTAGTCCACAGATCTTAGTTCTCGAAGACAGGACACCGAATTGATGGTTATGTCAGCATATTTTCCTTGTTATCGGTATCAAATCCCTGTCTGTTAGTCCAGAATGGCTTCCACACGTGAGACCTAACCCTGACGGTGATAGCGTGTATTGAATTTCGTAGGGAATCACCATCCATATTGAATGCTGAGTAAGTACTCAATTCGTTCGACTTCACTTCAACGTGTTGCTGTCAAAACGTCTCCGTTCGCTAGAATTAACAGGATCGCCATCATGTCTAAAGCTCCATCGTCAGAGGATACAAAGACCAATGTTTTTGAGTATGCGAGGAAATGGGGTGGTACGTCGACGGCTATTTCGCCCTCACCAATGACCTGGAGCTCATTCGTGTGTAGAAAACCCATTGCCTCCCACTGTGCTGGCAACTCTGATCACAGCTCAACACGCTCGACCTCTGCAAAAACTTCCTATGGTCTTCGCTCCCCTATTTCTGTTCACCTCGTACATGAACCTAGGTGGTTACAAAACGGAGGCCGCAGGAACGTCAGCCGCATGGAGCGCCCTCTATATGCTCCTAGCCAGCCGACGCAAACAAGTACGAACCACGCTCTCCCATTCGGATGGTGTGTATCACCTGCTTACTTATACACACTGTAGAGTATTAAATCGACCTTCTCTGTAAGAGGAGTCGTAAGAGGGGCGACCATGGCCACATGCGCGGTGCAAGTCGCCGGAGGTGCACTGGCATATCTTACTTGAATCTGCAAATTCCAAGTCAATAGAGCACCAGTCACCCACTGGGGATTCACTCGCTCCCGTTTACACCGTCCTTTTGCTTTTAATATCTTCAGACGGGTCGATTGATACCCTTCTCCTTGTCCACAAAAGTTTTATGCCGATTGCTACGTCAATGCTCCGTACGCTGCCCGTATATACGCTGAGCTTCGTTTGGAGTCAATGGAGTATGGTCATGTCTTCACGCAGACTGGTTCCGGTCGTTGAGATTCCACGCTTTTTCTACAACTTTTTTTGCATGAACTCTCGACCCCGAGGATATAGCTGCTCTCGTGCTCGTGGAGATCGCCTGTTGCTGCACTGGAACAGCACCGTGCTTGTGTGGGCGGCGAAGAAGGTCCCCGTCAGCGAATGCGTCGTCTCAGGGCACGAATGGTATGCGAATGGATGGATCAAATACCTGTTATTATCGAACAGTCCAAGCTGTGCTGGGCCGATCCGGTTTCGAACGGTGCCAGTGACAAAAAGGCAGAATTTACCCTCGAACAGAGAAAGATCGCATTCTTATGAGGCAGATGCTTTGTCCCCTAAATTGTTCCAAATACTCCAAATATATAACTAATACTACCGAGTACTACTCGAAGGCTACGGTTGACGTGATTAGTGCCACCATTTTACTATATATCATGGGTCCGAGACTGGGTAGTGTTGCCAAGCTGAACGCCTTTCTAGTTCATGGAGGCAGCGTTCAAAGCGAAACGAAAAAAAGTGCGGGTCTCTAAGCAGATGTCTGGATGCATTGGATTCGATAAAGACCATTCAGATGGCCATCATTATTTGCAGTTTAATTTATCGAGATCAAGCTACCATCCGACATCCTCTACCCAAACCAACTCGCTCCTTTGGAGCCCTTCACTCGTGGCTCCAAGATGCTGGGATCCGGACATGTCTTCCAACTGGCCGAAAGGGTTCTACAAATATGCCGGATCGTGAACGGATTTAACCAGTACTGAGTGTTGGTGAGATGTCGAACCTGGACGTTACCCTACCTGTACCGTCCCTGTAGTTTAGGAACACATGACCTTGATGTGCGATAGGAGACCTAGGCGAAGTTCCCTTCAGCGTATCCTGAACTAGTTAAATGCGGGCTGCTGATATCTCCATGGCGAAACAATTGGCAGGCTCTAATCAGAATTTTGAAACACTTTCCAACTGGGGAGCCATGGTGGTTGCATCCTTCTTCAACAATCGATGGCGTGGTGACTGGTGTGTCCTACATGACTATGCTGAGTGACAGTCGTTTAAGACATAAAGTCATATGATACAGGAATACGGGCCACGCATGTGTTCGCACAATGCGTTCTGATATAAAATAGCGAGCATACAAGCCATTCTGAATCATGATCCAACCGACAAAATGTGTAACTACGTGCACTTCGCTCACGGCACGTGTGGGAAAGAGGACTACCGGTGGAGGTACTGTGAGGGCTCCTCACCAGCCAGTCACGATTCTAGGCACAGTCGTGTACGATGCAGCACTGTTGGAGAGGAAGAATTCGAATTGAAGCCATGTCATGCTGGAGCATGCAGAGCATGCAGGAGGGTCGAGAGACAGCGCGGAATGTCAAGCTGGGCTCGCCTGGTGGATCGGCTCTTCTGACGTAGGCGAATACCTGGTGCAGATGAACGCTGAACCTTCACGCTAACCATGAATGCTCGTTTAGATATCGCATCTGCTTGTGATAGCACAGAGGCAGTCTATATTCTGAAAGCCAACGCAGCATGCCCCCACCTACTCGCCTGAAATGCGGAACGACCCTGGAAACCTCCCTTTTCCGAGGCAGAAGCATTGGCCGACATGCGGAATCCCAGCATTGGCTAGCTAAGATGTGTCCATCGGCTCACCCTCCCCTGGAACAGCAGCGGCCAACTTTTGCTGCAGTTTCTCCTGCTTGAATGCCTCGATCCGAGCGATCATCTCAGTGTCCGGAAGGACGTCTTCGATCTTCAACGGTGTCCGATTGAAAGGGTCGTGTGGATCACTCAGCAAATGGCTCCGAATAGTGCTGCGATCGATCGTGACGCGACTCGTCGGCAATATCACGGGATCCTCCATCAGCGTGTAGACAAGGGGATCCAAGAACTCGTCGGGGATTTCTCCCAAGTCTTCCTCCGCTTGCTGGTCCGCTTGTTTCGCGACCTGGACCTTGGCGGCCAGGTCCTCCCACTTCTGCAGGTCCTCTTGCGACTTGTAGCTAAACCGCTTCATGATATTCGCCGCTTGGATGAAGTTCTGCGGCTTGTAGGATCGGCCGTCGCGGGCGATGGCGGTGATGAAGTTCGGCCTTTCGCGCAAGTTCAGGTATACGTCGAATATATCGGCTAGCAGGTCTTTGGGCCGGAAGCCGTATTCGGCCGGGTTGTCGACCTTGAGATTGGTTTGTTTGGGGCCGACGAGGGCATCAAGATTGTAATCAAGCATATCTGCTAGTCGCTGAACAATTTCCGGCATTGTAAAAGACTTAGCTAAAGTTTCGGTGAAGAGTGTGAGCATGGAGACCGTCTCATTGGTCAATTGCATGTATCCCTTCGCTCTGCCTTGCGCGGAAGAAAGGGCTTCTTCTTTCTCCCTTCTTGTATTCTCGTCCATACCAGTGTTCCCTGGTTGGTTCAGTTCTCGTTGTAGGTCGTGTATGGTAGTGAAGGCGTTGAACGACTCATCGAGGACGAAGGTGACGTCGTTCAACAGGAGATTAACAAACCGCACGAAAAAGTCTAGATTGACCCTGCGAAACGAAGGTTAGAATGGTTCCCGCACGCTGGTGATGAATACTTACTTGGCTTCGGTCCCAAGGTTGTCCCGATAGATGGTGTTTGACCAGACAGATTTGATGATCTGAAAGATCTCGTACCGAATGTTGAATTTGTCAAAGAATTGCGTATGAGCTCCGGTACTTTCCACTTCAATAAAGAACTGCATGAGCGCATGGAGGAGGTGCTTCAAGGCGAACGGCGACCCAATGAGAAGGTCCCCTAGGACTCCTTTAGGGCGACCCCTGAACCCGAAGGTACCGTGGAACAAGATACTGACCAGGCCCGCTTTGAGATAAGGGTTTTTGATGTATTCGGAGCTGCGGAGAAAAGTGATGCAGATCACCATGAGCTCTTCACACTGTGTTGAGGTGATGATGTGAGGCATGGTCCGGGTGATGAACTTGAAGTTATCCACGATCACCTCCAAGAAGTATTCGGGTAAACACTCGAACACTTCGGGGACGTCCTCCGGGAGCGGGAGTTCCAATGGTTTGGTCGGATAACTGCAAGTCGGGGACGCCAGCCGAATTAGGAAAACAATGACATATCGCATGAACTGCATCGAACGAGCCTGGGTGAGTTCATCGAGAAGCACACCCTGATGAGCGCGGAATACGGAGTAGCCTCGCTCGATCTGGTCCTTGTACTTCTTCAGTGCCGCTTCGAACAGCCGCAACTGCCCAGGATTATGGGTGTATTTGTGCCTTTCGGTTTCGAACTTCTCTACCATCTTTTCCATGCGCTGCAAGTCCTTTTGGTGATCTGATAGCTTCGAGCTCACGGCTTCCATCCCATAGCGATGAGCCGCGACAGTGAGGAAGAACAGCTCGGAAATGAAGTTAGACGTGCCTTCGACTTGCTCCGTATAGAATTCGTCCGACTTCTTTTGATCTGCGTTGAACTTCGTCTCGTCGCTGATGTCGAGCCGAGGTGATCGTCGGAAATACGCCACGTCGATTCTATCAATCTTCGAGAACGTAGCGTCCATGAAAGGCTCGCACAATCGATCCAGAATGACCGTCACATTGACCATAAACGGATCCGTTGCAACAGCCGCAGGGTCGACTTGTATGGCTCTTCGCTTATGGTTGAGGTTGACCGTCATGGCGAGCCAGTCCAGCATTCGCTCCCGCGGCTCCTTGGATGCCTTGATGATGAAGTTCGCGATATCGAATAACTCGTCCTGGTGGGTCTGAAGGGTCATGCGCAAGGCGCGTTGCGCCTCCAGGATCTGATTCTCCGGCTTGTTCCGCGATCCATTAAAATAGTTCTCGGCGACGTCTCCAGAAAGGGGAGAGAGGCGGAAGAACGGGCCGAGTAACGTATCTGTTTCGATTGTGGATGCTGTGATGCTGGAGGGGAGGAACTGTGGTGACTTCGTCATAGCATCGACGACGAGGGGATAACGGACCAGGTTCCGGATCGCTAACATATATGGCTTGTAGTTGTCGTTCATGGAGAGCTTCTTCAGTTTCTCACTGAGTTGCTCGACCGCAGCTAGCAGAGCATCTTTGATACTATCGTCCTCTTTGAACCGCAACGACGCCTCGGTAAGGAAGTCATGACAGATGCCTGAGTCACACTCGGGGTCGACAAGAAGATGCTCGATGAGCGGGCTCGTTTCGGGGGTATCCCGGCCGAACATCTCCGGCATCGTGATGGCAAAGATGCAATAGCTCATACACAGCCGCCTGGCTTCTTTGATCACGGCGAATTTGGGGTCGTTGGGACCCAACGAACTCATGCTCCTCCACTGCCGCGACACTCGTTTCCAGCATCCAAGCAAGTAGTTGAACGGCTCTTCTTTGGAAAGATTGGAGGCCGCCTCCACAATCGCTCCATCCAATACCCCGACGCTGACCCTCAGCGGCTCACCCTGTTCTTCTAAATCAGCCTTCACTCCTTCGACAAAGTGTAGCCTCTGCCCGAGTCCGTCCGCCGTGTTCTGTCCTTTCACCGTGAGCCGGAAGATGCTGCTCAGTGTCCGGTCTTCCCATGTCTCGAGATTTTCTCTCTCGCCTTGCCGCGAAGCCGGCTGCTTGTTGCCCTGCGGTGTGTGTTGTGGAGTGGTGCTGTTGGGTGTCTGCGGTGTGGAAATCGGCTTCGTAGGCGTTGGTGTTTCCGGTTTCATGCTCAGCGGCGCAACCGAGTCTCCTTTCGGCGCTGACATCGCGGCACGAGGCCCTGATGGCTCGACTGGCGGTGTCCGCGTAGGTTGCTGTTGTGGCGGCTGCGAAGACAGGTTGTCCTCTACCTTCGGCACTCCAGAGGGAGGCGCTTCAACTTGCGAAACGTCGCTTGTTGAGGGAGTGACGTTCGAGCCTGTAAACCGTCCTCCACCTAGTTTGGCCAGGCGTTTATTTCGGATCTGTCCAGCAGCATTAGAGGTCTGGTCGCAGTATGCGGATAGCGGAAATGCCCCTCACCTTCTCCGCATCGGACTGCGCGTCTCCCATGGTGACTATGCTTATAAATCACACCAGTAAAGAGCGGCTGTGGTGTGGGAACGCTGGGACCTGTGGAATCCCAAAGAAGAACAGTTGTGTGGTGGTGGGATGTGTAGAAAGGAAGTCCCGAAGTATGGGAGACGCAAGTAGCTCTCGGTGTATGGTGTGGTTGTAGACAGAATGACGGCAAGGTCAGCGGTGAAATAGTTCATGGGTTTGGACCTCGCAACCAAACACTCATGTGGGTTTATAGGCAGACACCGCACTAGAATTCGGAATTCTCTGGCGACACAGCCTTTATCGATAATAATGAGGGACAGTGTGGTGATGAATTATCGACATGTGTTTCTGTGTTGAGAGATGGGTAGCTTTCTGGACAGGGCGACGACTTAACGTTTGATATGGCCGTCATAAGTGTAGCACGGTATTTTTTAAGTCATCAAATAAGCCTTATCAAATACCTATTAGAGGGCAGATTGCGATTTTTGAGTTTTTTGATTGCGTAGAGAATGTATCTGTCTTTATCCTCCGTACTTAGATATGCTTTGCTAAAGCTCGTGTATGCGTCATACTAGAGTGCCAGGACTGGGGAAATACATCAACACCTAGAGCGAGAAGTAGTGTTGATGTGTTTCTACCGGATGCCGTCGTCAGGGGCACAACACTACAGGCCTTTCGGAGGGTGGTAACATTCATTCGGTATGTGCATTCACGATAAGTCACACTCGGATGTTCGCCAGGTGCCTAAGAGTCATCAGGTTATATCACCGGCACGTACAGTGGCATCAATCCAAATGTACGATTGAACGCTATAGAAAGGGGTGGGGGGATGGAACTATTACATGGTGAGCACGCGTGGATCTAGTCCCTTGACGTGAGGATAGGAAATGGAGGAAACATGAACTGAGCACCGAAGCAGCCCTGAGGGAGTAAGACAGCAGCAGATGGGGAAGGGAATGAGGAAGGGGACGGAGCGTTGTGTGACCGCAGGAATGTGTGCAAGAGCAAGTGTAAAACCACCTATGGCTCGCTCTCCATGGCACATTCCCATTCATAAAATTGGGCACTTTCATCGGTAGCTGGGCGACGTCGAAAGGCAGTCAGCAGTTCCATTCACTCGGAAGTCGCTACACACAATCGCGGTCAGAATCAGAAGGATTCTCGCAGATGTAAAGCCCATGTGGAAGGCAGAAGAAGCTTGAGTTGATTTTCAGCCTGGCAGAACCGCCATCTCGCATACACGCTGAGGCTCTGGACGTCCAAATCCACCTTGACCACGCCAGCAGAAACCTCCAAATGCCGTCTCATGAATGCTGGACGAGAACCCACGTGCTTGAAAACGCCCCATCCCCACAGCCAAGAGCTCTAACGCGTTAAGGGGGTCGGAAGTTGGTGGAGAAGGCAAGTTGATGGGGAATTTGATTGGCGATCGAGATCAACTGCCGAGATCGTTTCCTCGGGGGTCGCGCGGTAGATTCTAAGGAATAAAGCCGGTGCACAAGACTTTCAAATTAAAGGCAAACAAGACAAAGAAGGATGGTTAGGGTGCGGAACGATTGCACAGTTCATTGTTCCCTCGAATGCAAGAGAAAAGGTATCGTAGAAGTTTTGCTCAAGGTCCGAGCAGAGAAGCCAAGCCGTATGACGGACCGGCCAGTCGATCGCATATTATGCGAGATGCATCGGAAACCCGTCTATAGGATGGTGCACTTCTTCTTCTTCTTGGTGGTCTTCGTCAAGGCGGCACGCGTGGCATGCTCGAACACCTCACGGACACCATCGTTGGTCTTTGCGGAGCACTCGAGGTATTTGACAGCACCGATTCGCTTGCGGACTTCCTCTCCCTGCATCATGTCAGCATTAGGCCGGAGCATTGCCGGAGCCAACGGATTGACGGCGGAGGGGTGACACGAACCTGTTCAGGGGTAACGGGCTTCTGCGAAGTCTTGTGGAGTTCCTCGATAGTCTTCTGATCGAAGCGGAGATCCTTTTTGCAACCGACGAGGATGATGGGCAAGCCTTGGCAGAAGTGAAGCACCTCGGAGATCCACTATCGATGACATAACAGTTAGTGCAAGCTTCGAATAGCTACAAGTGAGCGATAAAGATGGAGAGGGAGTTTGTGTATGTATTCCGATAACGAAAATGAATCGCACCTTTTCCTGAACGTTGTCGAGAGAGTCGGGAGAGTCAACGGCAAAGCATATCAGGATGACATGGGAGTCGGGATATGAGAGCGGTCGCAGACGGTCGTAGTCCTCCTGGCCGGCCGTGTCCCACAGGGCCAGTTCAACGTGTTTGCCATCGACCTCGACATCGGCAACGTAGTTCTCGAAGACGGTGGGCACATATACCTAAAGAGATTGCAGTGTTAGCTGGAGCTCCTTGCCTAATGGTGTCCCAAATTGCGGTAATGTCCGATTTGGGTGAGGAGACGTGTGGACGCGTGGAGGGCTCAAGAACTTACCTCCGGGAAAGTACCCTTGGAAAAGACACTACACGATGAAGATTAGTCTCTTGTCCAGCTCTATCTCATGGATGCATAACGGGCCGTATCGATCACTGATGAAAGGGGTGGATGGAAGTCGATGAGAGCTTTCGAGGATGGAACTCACATGAGCAAGCAGGTCTTCCCACAAGCACCATCGCCGACAATGACGAGTTTGCGACGGAGTTCCGCCATCTCTGGTGATGGAGAAGAGATTGGAATGGGATGGAAAAGAATTCAGACGAATGGAGGTTATGAGCGAGGAAAGTGGTTGATGTAAATTGTGGAAAGTCAAGCAGGAGACGGAGAGCGGTGGGTGGTGGTGGATATGGAGAGGGAAGTGTTGTTGAAGGGGATCTTAGTTTGGGTGTGGAGTGTGCAGATGAAAGATTTCAAGTGTTGGAACAGAACGGAACGATTGCTGTCAGAGCAATTCGCAAGACGCAACCTAAGTACCGTAATATTACTGGGGATTAGCCACCATTAGGCTAGACCTAGGGTCACCTAGGGCCACCGCAGCCAACTGGTTCCATTTTGAGGGGAAGGGGGAGATAGAGCCACACTGCCAGAGAGAGCCAGAGAGCGGGGAGGGGAGGGGTGCCGCGGCGGATGCTGCTGGTCGCTGGGCTGTGACTCTGGGCTGTGAACTGGCTCCTAGCTGGGGTGTTAGGCCGTGGCCTGCGAGGCGGGAGCCTGTGCAGTAGTTCCCTGTGTAGACAACAGCGAGTGCTTGGCTTTGAGTTCAGAGTTCATATCTCTGGTGCTCCATTAGCCAGACAAGACTGGCGACTGGCAACTGGCAACTGACATAACAGACAGGCGACAACAGTAGTACCTTCCTACCTAGTTTCTACATCCTCTGTCATATCTTGTTTCTGTACTGGTACCTAGCCTTCTCAACAGCCCACACACAAAGAGCTTCGGAAAGTGAGAAGCGGAGGACTGGTCAAGGCCCAAGGGTTACTGCGGCTGTGCAAGAGAATGGCCGCAGCACAGCGGTTCAAGTGGAGTTAGGCTCATTGAGGCTCAGGATAAAAGCTGACATTCTTGCTGCACTGCCAACGATCACTTCAAGTTTTGATCCCATTTATGATATCACCGATCAGGTTGTCAGTTGTCACATCACAGAACGTTGGCAACTTCACGTTGCTCTGTTCTTGCGCCTGGAGATCGTGCCAGGAGCGCTGGCTTAAACTCTCAGGCTTAAGCTCCCTGTCCCTGTCCCTCCCCTCGCCAACGCCACAGCCTCGTGCAGTTGAGTGGTTCTGCAATCTGCATGCGCTGATCATCCTACTCTGGACTTCTATTATTCTAGCATGAGTGGGACCCTGGCTGAGTTCTGTGCATGAGTCTATGAGATGATACACGCATCGTATACTGTCTGATGGGACCTCATAACCATCAAAGGATAATAGAAGGGACGGAGCTCACGGCGGATATTCACTAAGGGTGCTGGAGACGCAGCCGTGAGCAGATGAGACAACCGTTCAACACCGGTATTTGTTTGACTGTACTCTGTAATATTGCAATGATTTGATATGTAATCTGTATGGCTGTAATATTGATTCTCAGCTGTACGTCCACCCCACCCAAGCTGTTGCCTGTTGAGTCCCGACTCCTAAAGGGGGGCGGCCAACTCTCACAAAGGTCAAGTCTTGAGGATGCCCGCATTCTTCTGGACTTTATTTGAACAATACAAAGGTGGAACATGTCGTCTTTCATTCAATGGTTAACACTCGACAGGTTCTTTTGACAAGCGTAATGGGCCCGGACTGCCTCGACAAACATGGTAATCACGTGCTCTTCAGGATGAGAGCCCCGTGCACGTGACTCTTGTCCTTCTTCACCAAATGATCAAAGGACCTATCGTTGGCTAAGACAGATATATCCCCACATGGGCCTCGCTGAGAGGCCTGACGGGCGTATGAATCTCTCTCTCTCTCTAAGACAGATATATATATACATGTGTCAAATGTCAATTGAATAAGAAGAATTGTCAGGATCATTTCCAGTTTGATCTGAGATTGTTGATCAGATTCCATCGATCAACTACGTGACTTGAGATTACCGATGCAAAACGCCACGCTAAAAGACACAGTCATGCGCTAGGCTCTTGTATATGCAACCATTCCATGCTGCACCGTCTTCACGGTATTACGTACTTTCCAATCAAAGTAACAGCTTCGGTGTTACAAGATGAGGCAACCTCTATGGTTGTTGAGCCGCAGCTTGGCGACCATGCCATCTTCTCGAGAGGCGGAGAAGGTTCGCCTGATTGTTCGACACACAAGCTAGGACAAGGCATCTCTCAAAGATGTACCCTGCCATCATGTAGGTCTTATCACTTGGACTATCGACGGTCCCTGGCCCCTCGTGGGAGCCAACATTGGCTGAGCGCGACCTTGTCGAGACTGTGCCCGAGTCGCACTGAGCTCAACCACATCACACCACGGAGGAGGATCCCCCATCATCGCACGACAACGGCGATGACCAAGGCCAGGAACATGGCCCATTGGCCGTTCTGATTTCGCTGGATTCCCGCACCGGAAGCTCCACCCTCAGAAGCTGTTGGGGACGCGTCCTCGGGGTTACTGCTTGGATCAAACTCGGCGCCGGACACGTGGGCAGAGCCAGGGAGTAACGGGGCCGGTAACGTAGAGGCCGTAGTCGAAGCTGTGAGGAGAAGGGAGTTAGATATAGTTGTTGAATCGGACAAAGTCAGTGTGATGGGAGTAGATGCGTGGTTAGGACTAAGCTCAAAGATGCGGAGGGGCAGGGGGACCTCAGAGCAGGTGCCAGCCGAGACTTAGGGGGATGGAAATGACTAGGAAGGCATAGTAGTGGTGGACAACACGGGAACTGTAGATCATAAAGTCTAAGAGTAGCTGCTTGAAGAAGCCGTTTGTGAGGTTTCCTCAGAGTAGATGTGCTGGGGGCAATTGGTGGAGGCAATGGGATCTCTGTGACAAGGGCTGAAGAATTGGGAGCTAATGCCGTATAGGCATATGGTGTGGGGATCATGATTGTGGTTGGTATGAAGGGACACCCAATGTACCTTGCCAGGTAGCTCTTGCGGACAATGGAGGAGAAATGGAATCAGAGAGTGTTATCATGCTGGCTGCGGTGGGGGAGGAGGTCGCTAGGGAAGCTGGTGCTGTCGGCAACTGTGCTTGTAGAATGGGGTGGTGATGGAAAGAACAGGGGAAGATGGACTGAAAATGACCGTACCTGTTGGGCTGAGCGTGGTAGCGGAGGAGGGAGGCAGTGAGCTAGAGCTACTTGGCCCCTTAGTCCCCAGTCCCACTCGTTTCCCATCAAAGTCGAAGAGGGCATAGACGTTCTTGAAGAACACATCGCCCACAAGCCACTGGCCTTCGTCGAAGGTCTGACGGCCAATGATGTAGCTGAAGCATTTGCCATCGTTCGCCCCGCTTGGTCGTCCGACATAGTCCTTCGGGGAGATACCGAAATTCTTGCCGTCGATCTGCAGCTGAACAATCTGCCTCGACGAACACGGGATCAGGAAGTTCTCGCCATTTTGACTGGAGCCCGATATCAAGGAGTGGAACTTCACCGCATCCGGTTCGGGAAGCAAAATGAAAGAGGTCCCGGTATCAAGGATGACCGAACGACCAGTGAGCCCAGCGGTTTTACCATCGACCGCAATGTCGTCCACGGCGACCTCCCAAAATCCATGGCGATTGGTGATTGCCGACGCGTACGTGAGATCGCCGCTGTATCTGGAGCGGTCCGGAGCGCCGAAGTTCAGGACCCCATCATTGGTTCCCCCATCCACCGCTCGCCACAAGGTCACGCCGTACATCTTCGCCGGGATCAGTTTCTGCGTTGCTAAAACGTCCATTACGGTTGGAGCGTTGATGGTGCCGGGATCGGAGGACGTATCCGCCCGGCCGAGTCCAAGAATGCCGTCCATTGGGTAGGAGAAGAACTCCTTAGATACTTCCTCGGCCAAACCGAAGGTTAATGGGACAGAGAACCCAGCGAATTTGGCGGTATCGCTGACAAGTACACCGCTCACCGTGCCAGTGCCGTATTTGATTTCAAAGCCACCCGTTGTTACCTTCTCCTCCGTTAGCATCGAAGGTATCGACCGCATGTGGATACGGGATTCGTACGTACAGTTAGAGAACTCGATTTCTGCGGCCCATATGTATTGTGAGAATTGCACGCCTGGTTTGTACAAGCAGCACTCATAACCCATGTGTTTGAAGCGCCGGAGTCAACCAGTAGATGGTAGACATCCGGACTCGATCCAAATTGGAACTTCGCCATGTACGAGAAGTCCGTCCCATCTTGATCTATGCCAATGCTGTTCTTCGTCGATGGTTCAGCAGCGCTTATTATGTTATATTGGTTCGCTCGTGGTGACACTACTCGATGTATCGGTATTCGGAGGTTGACGATATCGCCCTTAGGTACGCTGATGATACCCCGTCTATGAGATGGAGGCTCACTGCCCGGTTCCGCATAGGGATAGAATGCCGTGGCATATGGTATCAGAAGCCCAATGGCAAGTGCTGCCCATGTCGGATGCATTATCGTAGTTCTATGAGTATCGCATTACCGATCTTATGGGCGGGGTGGATTGCGATTCCACAGCTTCGAGGATATGATCGGGGTCTCGAAGAAATATAAACCGAGAGCAAAACTCATGTCGCGTCCAACTGGGTGCAAGCAATTAAGCAGTCTTAGCAAGGCAATCCTTTTATTCTAGTTTCCATTGCTCGAATCGAGGACGACTTGGAGGGATCGATGTTCAGGGTCGGATCCAAACAAAGAATGGAAAAGCTGCGGTACAACAATCGAATACGACGCAAAGTCTAGTAGCGGGGGAAACAATGCAGGAAATGCAGGAAACGCGGGGGACGATAAAGAACAAAGGCCACAGTGCTTCTTCGCTTTATGCTATTGATGGGAGATGTTTGAAGATGCGTGATAACTGAGGTTGTCAAACACAACATGAGGTACGTACCCACCATAGACAGGCAGGTGGTGCATGTGGACACTGGACTCGAGACGCTCAGCTTCAACTTTTACGACTCCAACCCTGCCATAACTCCACTCGGCTTCAAAAGCGGCTGGATTCGAGAGCCAGGGCTTATGATAAATGACTATTATTGGCGACACATCGGCGAGAGGAGCAAGTCGGCCAGGGGCGGTACATAGTACGCAGGCTGGGGCATAGAAGGCTTAGGCGCTTGGCAGGCGGGCAGGATTGGCGTCCAGCCATCAACATTCGACTCCTTTTCGCTGCCGATCTGGGACGAATCCCGACAATTGATGATGACAATCCGCATGGACAGAAACACTGGTGACTGAAGGTTCTGGGTTTACCGTGAAATCAGAAAAGTCAAGCGTCAAGCGTCAAGACACAGTCAAGGGCGATTCAACCCGACTATTCCCTCCGGTATTCCGCTGTTTGCTAAGGGTAAATACTAGAATGTCGAATGGACGATGTTGGTAAGGGGAAAATACTGACCGTAATTATATGTGGTACAAGCATAGGCAATTATGGTACTCCTTGATATCGTATAACTTATACCAATATGCATGAACTTGAAATTGGTATACTTATCAGTCTTAACACCATTCTCCAAACCCACCTACATCACAGTTGCGCCATGCTGGCGGAAATCGGAATTGACCCATTGATGAAACGGTGGAGGACGTTTGTTTCACTGGGAATGGCTATCTTTGTTCCCAATTCCCAAGGTCCTCAACCATCTCATTTCTCAACAAAGTCAACAAGGGGTTGCGGATCCGGGGGTTGAAATCAGGGTACAATTCCGGCCCCGATCAGCCACAACCCTCAGGTGGGACTAACGCTGTCTAGATTTTGGAGTCTACTAATAGAGTATCGTCAATTCGTCATGAACAGAACAAAAAGTCAATCATGGGGTTTTCAATTCAATTACTATAATGGTAGACAGCAGTATCAAGCCATTGTATGGAATAACCCAGTGCCAACGGTGGATTCATTAGGCGGTTGAATGAGGCATCGTATGAGACACCACCATCGATAAGATTCCCGCATCCCGCATATTGAATCTCCTGACCGAGTGTCAGGATCGCTTCGGAGATAGGAGTAAGGAACCCCAGACATAACAGGTAATTCAGCCAACTGAACCAGGATGCACTATCGTTTATTAAGTCCGATCTCGTCCCCAAGCGCGCGAGGCGGTCAAGAGCTCGAGAAAAAATGGGTGATATGATTTGTCTACCTGAGCTTCGAACTTCGAACCACCGTGGACCGGACTCGTTCTCCCTATCGGATCCCGAAGCGGCGCGTCATTTTTGGTGATGCTTCGTCCGCTTCTTGCACGACTCGTCGGACAGGGAACCGGGGAGGAAGTAAAGGGTTCCGCGTGGACGGGACCGCTGCTTTAACAACACCACACACCCAAGTACTTAAATACGTCGACCCCTCGTGTCTCGCGGAGTCGCAGATGATCTCATGATCTCATGATCCATTCGGGAGAACGACTGGTTACCATCCCTCTCAAATCTCATTCATCGGGTTGAGCCGTTGAAGGAGCTCAGTACTTACCTATCATATATCTTCAACTTCGCCTCCTCCCCAAACCCTTGGAAGCTCAGGCTGCTTAGCTTGATTTCCCCGCATTCTTTGACCCCTTCATGTTATGGGGCTGCTAGCTTGTGCATATTGATTATCACTGAACATTGTTGCTCGTCGGTCTGGACTCCGGACTGCTCCTTCACTCAATTGTCGTCAAGTTCTCAAGTCCTTCCTTTGCCTATTAATTGGCACTCTGCCCTGCCGTTCCCCCCTTTTCGACATCCATCCGCCCTCTCCATTCCGATCCGGATATCATAAATAAGCAGGAGAACCATCATGGCCGCCTCCCGAGCCTCCTCGATCCGTGCTCTCCGCCGCATGGCCTCCAACTCTACCCCTTCCACTACTCGCTCGCTCCATATGACGGGTCCGGCGACATATCCGTCGTCCCTGTTGACTAGCGAGCGCACTGCCGCCACTACCGCCGTGGAACAGTCCAAGCAGTCGAAACCTGCTCGTCCCGCCGAGTCCAGCCCTGCGACGAGCGCCACCCCAGCGCGTCACTTCAATACCAGTCGCGCCTTGAAGGCGGTGAATGACACCTCTCCCATTGACTTCGCGTATCTGCCGGAATTCGATCCGGATAGCCAGGTCACGCCGGTGGCGGTCCGTGTCCCGCTGTTGCCAGTCGGGTTATATCCAAACACGTCCACGTATGAGGATAACACTTCGGAATCGGTATGACCCCTTCGCGTTTTTCCTTTCTATGACAGTGAATGTTCACCTCTGAGATATTGGGAGTGCAAAGCGTGGGGTCACCTTTTCTCCATGCTAACATCATCACCACAGGTCATGCGTCCCGAAATCTTCACCGCGTCTGCAGACGGAACCCACATCTCCGCCCCGTCGGCGTTCGCGGATATCCATGACAACGGCGCCGGTGAGATCGACTACAATAAGATCGCCGATGGCCTATCGGCAGCGGTGGGCAGCATCCGCGGTGCCCTTCCCACCGAAGAAGTTGGAATGGTGAAGCAGGTGTGGCATGACCTGCTGGACGACGTGCTCGGTCCGAAGAAATCCAGCGCGTGAAGCAAGCACGAGATGAGATGGTTCTAAGATGCGTCAGGGTCGCATGGGGAAAATGATTCAATGTCTCTTACTACCTGTATGTCACACAAGGTGGCGTGGTCACCGAAGTTTGTTTGAGAGCGTCCTGGTAATGGAAATTAGCGACGGGTCTCATCCAAGTGCTGGACGGCTACTCGATTGCTATTCCGTACTATTAATGAGATATGACTTCATCCCTATGGTCAAGCCTTTTAACCAAAGTTCCCCGGTCATGGCGTTGCGTGTATTGTAGAGCTTCGGTGACATGGACATGCTACTCGGACTTTTTCCGCCTATTATGTAAATACATACCCAACTTCCCTTTCGACCACAAGCCAGCCGGGAAATACAGAGGGAACAGTAATTATCAGAGTTGAGAAAGATCTTGATTCTGAATTGTCTAAATGAACCGCTAACTATGCGTTGCTTCATATCATCCATCCTCGGGTCACACTTCCCCTTCCCTATGTATCCCTTGCTTCTATTCGGTCCAATCAGACCACAATGTGAATCGAGTGAATCCAGTGAATCCAGTGAATCGATGGCCAGAGCAACAAAACCAACGCGAGAGGAGCCACCCCCTTCGACCTAGCCAATCTATTTGATATCCCGTTTCTTTCCCGTTTCTTTCCCGTTTCTTGCCCGTTTCTTGCCATTTCTTTCCAAACTCGGTACTGGTACACTGGAATGTCCATCTCGGACAAAAAATATAAATGACCCAAAAAAAGCATCCCTACATGCTCCCGATTCATCCCATGCCGTGTGTCCGGTCGTAAATGTAGCACCAACTACGTCCCATGAGTGCAAATACGCCAGATCTCGCCTCAACCAAACGTGCGCCAAGTGAAAACTGTTCGAACAAGATATTCGAGCAGAAAACGAAATCATCATGAACGAACAAGGGGTGCAAGCTGGTACCGATAATGTCCAAACCAGTTTGGTGAGTGGTGTTTGTGTTTGTGTTTAGGGTGGATGGGAGATTAACTTCCCCCTTCTGCTTGGAGCTCCCCCTCCTGGCGCTCTGCCTCATCGCCTATCGCCGATTGTCGATCGATCTTCTTCATGGTGTTGTTGCTTCCACTGCGCGTGGTTTTCATGGATGAAATGGTTGTGGCTCGTCGGGTCCTCCGCCGGGCAATTTCGGCATTCGACACGCTCTGGCTTCGCGAAAGCCCTTGTTTGTTCCGGTGATTACGACTCATGACGAGGAAGTCGTCAGAGTCGTCAGAGTCGACCGCATCGTCCCCAGTATAGTCGTCCGGTGCGTAGCCGTCATCTTCCTCATGAGTGTTTCGAGGAGCCGACGATTGGGGAACGACAAGGCTTGGTGACATCGGAGAAATTTGGACAACCGGCGCAACATTCTGCTTCACTTCCTTGACTGTATATTCTTCTTCTGGCACCGACGAATTGGCGGACGCAACGGACGGCATCGATGGGTGAGAGGTCGATTGGGACATGCCTGAAGTGAACTGGTCTTCCGACGAGCTGGAAGGTATATGACTCGATGAACCCGCACCAGTGTGTTGCGATGCGCCATCCAATGCAACCGCAGGCCCCGTTCCCTCTGCGCTTTGCCTCAGGAACAAATGGTCGTCCGGACTAGGAGGACAAACCGGATTCGCCGCGTTCAGAGCCTCGGCCTGAGCCCTTGACGGTGGCCGGTCGCGGACATAATTCTCTTTCTGCACCTTCCGTCGAAGTATGTCTTCTTTGGCCTTATCAAAACGTTCGTCGGACGCTTGCCGCGCTTGCCGGCTGCTCGGTCGAGGCTCAGGGTCGAAGCTCAGCGGCAGGAACCGGTCGTTCGCAAGGGAACTGCTCGATCCTTGCTTGGAGATTTCGTTGTAGGCGACAGAGGGGGCGCGCGAGGACATGGGGCTCGCTGCAGCGGAGCTGGTAGGAGTCGACGTGTCGCGAAGGAGAGCCGGAGGATCTAGGTAGCCGCCAGCGACCGTTCGGCTAAACCCGACGCTCGGTTCCCCGTGTTGATAATCACTGGCTAGGCTCTCCTTGGATCTCGAACGTTCATCTTGCCGCGATCGATCTCGGCTTCGGACCGTGCGGAGGAGGGTGCTTGCCCCTTCCCAGATCCCGCCGAGTGCGGATAGCGAGGGGGGCTGCTCGGACGAGGTCTGGGCAAGGCCTTCCGGAATTGTCGTAACCGTTTCTTCGCCGCTGCTAGATGGTTTCAGCGTCCGCGTCGATCCAAAGGAGAGGTCGATGGGTGGTTCATGCTGACCGTGGAATGGCCGAGATCGTTCGTGATCGTACGATAGACTCTCAGAAGACTGGACTGAAGGGAAAGGGGATTCCGGACGGGAAGCAGGACCAAGGAAAAAGTCCCCGCGCTCAGTAGACCCGGGGCTTGCCACCACGCTCTGGGACAAAGGATGATCTCCTTCACGGGATGGCTTGATCACGGTCGGTAAAGTCTCGTCGATCCTTGACCCGAGACGGCGGCCATCTTGACTAATAGTACTGCTGGATGATGTGGCCGAGGGAGGCCAACCATCGGCATTCGAACCACTTGCTGAGCTCTTGGCTCGTCGCCGAGACGACGCACTTCGGTTGATACTGACGCCAATGGCGCCCCCGATCTTGCTGACGATGCTGCGCATCCGTTCCACGACTGTGAGCGGGACAACGGCGTCGGCAACATCCTCCTTGGAAACTTCGATTCGCTTGCCTTTCGTTTGGCGCGAAGGATCGGTTTCGTCTAACCACGCCGGTGCATCTTGGATACCTTCAAGGATCCACGGATGATGCTTCACCTCGGTCAGATTGATACGGCGCGTGGGATCTTTGATGAAGAGACGGCGGAGGAGATCGTAGAGTTCGTCATCGATGTCTTCATATTCGAATTCATGGGGTAATCGCTTGCCAGAATTCAGCGGTCGGAGGCCCCGAGCCGCTCGGTCGTCCACTGCCTTGAGACGCTTGCGGGGAATGTAAACGTCCTGTTCGGCAATCATCCGCATCAAAGCAAAGGCATTGTGGTCGTGAAAGGGAACACGTCCGTACACGAGGCAATAGAGAGTCACGCCTAAGGCCCAGACATCGATCTGCTCGGTGATGGGCTTACGTTCGGTGTCGAGATCGGTATCGCAGAGTTCCGGAGCATAGAAAGCAGGGGTTCCGACGGTTTTGGCGAGCTCGATTGCTTCATCCACATCAGGCGCATCCGATTCTGATTGGTCTTCGCCCGGCGGGCGCGCTTCACGCCCTAAGTATGAGACCCCAAAGTCGGAAATCTTGATGCGCCGATCTTTCGTTTCGAGCAGATTTGCCGGCTTGATATCCCGATGGATGACTCCTTGGTAATGCAGATATTCCAGGCCCAGTACGGTGTCTCGGAATGCGGTTCGCGTCGCCTGAAGAGTCATGAGGGGAACATATTTGAAGTGCTCGGGAACGTAAGGACCAACGTCCAACCCCAGCACCGGCGAGGAGGCACCGCTAAGCGAACTGGGAGTACGTCGGCCGGAGAAGTTCGATTCATAGGCTCCGTACATTGTGCCTTCGAGTCCAGTCGCGTTGAATTCGCTAGAAGATGGGTGATGATTTTGAAGCTTGCCCTCGATCTCGGCATAAGCTGCGTCCGCCCCATCGTGGCTGAGGGGACCCGTGATAGTCCGTTCCCCCGCCAGCGGGGACGGCGGAGCGACACTGTTGCGGCGGCTGAAGTCTGATTGGTAAGCATCGTAGTCAGAACCAGAGGAGTCAATATTCGTGGGATCTCCCATCATGGACGGGTTACGGGACCCCGCTCCATCACTGCTGGCCTCGTCTTCTGATTCTGCACCATGCTCGATACTCCATAAATCGGGACCCGACAAGGAGTGCTTCATATGTTCATGCTCTTGAGAACGACGTTTTTCCTCTCTCTCGCGTCGTCGGGAGGCTTCCTCGATGATGCGATCGTCTTCGATTAAAGCCGCCTGGTCTTCGAACCGGCCCTGTGATTCCCGCTGGTAACGTCGATACTCGATTAACGTAATTTCGGGCTCGCCTTCGGTCCGCCATTTGATCTCACCCATCTCGACATGTTCGAGGACAATATAGACCTTCTTAAATGACGGATCGTCGATGACCTCAAGCAGACTGACGATATTCGAGTGTCGAGCTTTCTTGAGGATGGCGATCTCTCGTTTGATTTTGTCCTCGTGGCTTCCGGTTTTCCCCAGTCGTCTCCTTTTGGAATACCGTTCTACGATCTTAATGGCCACATTCTGGTCCGTTTCAAGATCTCGGCCCAGCTTGACCTTTCCGTGCACACCACGGCCCAATTCATCAATGATTTCGTAGTGGTTGATGATCTTGCGACCGGAGATCGGGTCGACATCCTTTTCGGCGACATGAGTTTCTCTTGGTGTTTGGCGATGTGTGTAATGAAGGAAAGGGCTGGGGTACCCTTCCTGTATTTCCGAGAAGTCGTTTCGCATGGGAGAACCACCAGGCGTGAAGAGACTGGGGCTACTGATCGGCGAATTGCCTACAGTCTTGGAACCTGTCTCTATGGAGTGTAGTAGATCTTCACTGCCACGCAGAATCGCAGATGCTGACGAGGTGTGAGACGGCCGATGAAATGGTTGCGAGCTGTGAGTTCTGAGGTAGGGACGTGGGTAGGGGGTGGGGTGCACTTGATGTTGCAAGGCAGCGTATGATTGATCAGGAAATATAGGGAACCCATTCCAGTCCTTTGCGTAAAGCTGACTCAATGGTCGCGGGGGGCGGATGGTGCTGGTGCTGATCGTGGACGCTCCAGAAATATCTCTTTGGATTTCGGGGCGACGGGGAACGTGCGAACTCTCGGAACTACTCGTGTGTTCATGCTCGTCTTCGAGCAGAGAAGCTGACGGAATCATCGCGGTCGTTGGAGTTTCGGCAGAGGAGAGATCGTTATCCGCCCTCTCTGGAACCAGCCGTTGGGTCGTGTCGAGCGAGGGGTGATGGGCGACATCTTCTGCGGTATCCGTCCACTGCCCATGGACTGACCGATCTTGCAAAGCATCTAGCACAGGCTCCTTCTTCTCTAGACCCTTACCCGCGGTCGACTCAGAAGACTTCGTCGCGAATTCTTGGCCGACATCGACAAAGTGCGGTGGATATTCTAACGAAGCCGAGCCTGATACTATTGCACCTCCGAGTGTGACTCGCTGCTCGTCGAGCGACTCCGAAGGCACCGTCACCGGTTCGGAGCGCTCGGGTATTTCCTCACTCATCTCGGCACACCTATCCGATCGATGTTCGATAGGTTGAAGGTCGGTTGACGGCTATCACCTTCGCTTCCATTTACTCCTCCACTGATTGTCCTCTAAGAATTTTCGAGTCCGTCCGCCCTCCGCGGCCCAGACATAATGGGCTTCTCAGCCCTGGTACTAAGGCGCGGGGCGAGGTGAGGATGGGGGTTCGATGGCGCTCGAACGGACGAGGAATAGTATGGATCGGCAGGTGCTTTTGGTACTTGACGGTTGAGGTCGTGAAGAGTCGCGCCGTAGAGCCGCTGTACGTAGTGATTCCAGTCTGCGGTCGTCTAGGAACGGGGTGGCTGCAATAAGCGCGTCCGCTAATGGTGAGGGTGGTGATCGGATATGTGCCAGATGACTGTCAAGTGAGAGGACAAACTAGGACAAAGCGAAGGGAATCGTTAGCTGTGGAGCTCGAAGCACGCAATTCAACAGGACCAAGAATGCAGTCAATCTCAAGAAAGAACCAATTCACAGCGAGTGCTGTCTATTGAATGATCAATTGGGTGAGTGCGTACCTTTTCAGCGGGGGAGGGCAAACCGGGTGGTTGTGGTTCAAGATGCTCAATAGGCTTGAGGAGGGGCGGGCAACCAACTCAACAACGGAATCGCTAGGAACTTGGGAAGGATGATCAACGGGACCAGCAAGTGGACGAGGGAGCCGAAGCCAAAAGCAGAAAACTGTGCACGGGGACGGGGAAAGGGAAAGGATGCAATTGCACAATGAGGGACAAGTATTAATACACAGATGTCGAGGAGAAAAGAGGGAGGAAGCGAGATGAAGAGTGGGAGGGTATCGTCATCACGATGGGAGGAAATGGACTCAAATCGTGAAATAGAGGATGAAAGGCGGCGGGCCTGGGATTAAGTTTACTGTACGGAATAATACGGTACAGGATCCACTGGCAATCCACTGGCAATCTGACATGGATCATCAGTTCATGTTCGATCATTGATGGGAAGTTGGGAACTCATCACTCTTAAGCCTTAACTGTGGGATGGTTGAGACGAAGTTGGGAACTTGGGACTGGTGGGAATTAGGGGGGTGCTGGGGGGGTGCTGTGGTTATTTCACAGTGATATACGGATACTGATATTTTGATTTGGGGGGGAGGGATCTGGGAGGAAGGGGTTGCAGGACAGAGCCCAAAGTAAGGAGGATTTCCAGGTAATATTCGCGTAACTTTGGCGGTTGCCACCTCTCAACCATCCGGGTATTCGCAAGTGATGGATGATAGAATCAGGCCACTTTAGGAACTGCAGCAGTGCAACGGGACCATGGGTTCATTGTTCTGAAATATATTCTTTGGTATTCTTTGACTTTTCATTCGACAAAACACTGGGCTTGATGACGAATGGAATTGTAACGACTCCTGTCCACACAGATGACGAGCCAACAGGCTTGGCATAGATTCATCATCCATTAATTATAAATTACAATACCGTATAAAACTAGAATTACACCCCACACCAGCGTCTTGCATCCATGGGACTTGGCGGATGGGCGTCTTCTGTGTCGGCTCTCACCAGATTCTGCTGCCACATTCCAAGACTCCAACGAAATATAAAAGTCCCAACCACCCTGAGTTCTTCACTCCGCCACAGCGTCCTTGATTTGATGCTTCCGGGTACAGGAAAGAGAGAGAGAGCACAATGAGAAATCTTCTCTTGATTACGGCTATGAGCCTTCACGACTTGATTGTTCGTTCAGTGACGGAAGTGCTGTAGATAACTAGGCTGTCGATGTCATCCACCATACCTGGTCAGTACAGTAGACAGTTTTAGCAGCCCTCCTTATCAAGACTTTTGCCCCTCCTCACCCATTGCACTGTGGTGTGGGCTCTCCTGAAGACAGAAGTCCTGATCAATAAAAACACGCTCACAGTCATCATGATTTATTCCATTTTTGCCCTCCAAAGCTGAATGCTCTCGATGATAGGCAGTCGTGTCTCTGTCCCGTGTGCCACACTCTCGCAACACCCTCCAGGCCTCCACTGTGGTAGATCGCAATACCTGGCCAAGGAGTCTGTTATCTGTCGCGGTCCTGATTACTGACATGGGCCCCTTGAGCAGTCGACATCGCAATGTGTACGGCAGTTTGCCCTCCAGCCGCGTTCGCCGCGCAGATTCAACAGTAAGGTCCGGGTACCTATCGTGAATACAGTACTTACCCGAGTCGGTTTCCAATTGCCGTCAGTATCATGGAATTCATGGTACACCCTAGGTTGCGAAAGGCTCTGCCGAGTAAATGCAAAGGCCAAATAGACCTGACAGATCCCCAGATTCTGTTCCTCCAAAGATTGGTTTCTTTTCTTCTTCCCGCTCTTGCGCCACGCGGAGAAAGATGCTGCCCGATTGAGCGATCGACCAGACCACCAACCAAGCTCTCCGAAGTCTGAACGGCGAACAATGAATGGACTGGAGTCTGGACCTCTTTGTCCTTTTTTCCCGCGTCTCTCGTCATTTCGTCACGCCGATTTGCCTACCACGCGCTGCATTGCACTTTGTTGGGACCATCATTGGCTCCTCATCTAACTCAGCCCTGGCATTTAATCCTGCCACCATCGTGGAGGTGGATGGCTCACCCAGTCATACCTCAGTCTTTACAGCCCTTAGGCTTCATCTTCAGGCCACTCAGGCATTCAGCACCATTGATCGCCCGGACCACCTGTTCGACAGCCTTATCCAATAGGCCCTGGGTTAGGGGCGGGGTTACTACTCGCGAATTCCGAAGCAGAGCCTGATGAGATGTCTCGGACCAAGATTCAACTCCCATTTCTTATGAGGATCTAACCATCCGTAATCAGATGTTTGCGCGCTGTGCCGGCTGGGACCTACACGCTCCACAACGTGAACGCGGATATCAGGAAGACGAGGCTAACGCCTACAAGGAACCGGATCCTATCCCTGTCCCGATGCAGTGGTTCCCGTACAACATGACTGGAGACTATCCTATTGCAGCCCGCAGAGATTCTGTTGGGCTGGAGATCGGAGCACTTTTGCTTGTACCTACCGCTGTACCGCACTTACCGTACCAATTATGTGTAACTTGGCAATTACAAGACGGACAAAACGGTGGAGTACGAAGATAAGGTGTGATTCTTTTCCCCAGCCAGTACCCTATACAGAGTTCAGAGTTCAGAGTGTTCAAACTTCAGTGTTATCCCTGGCAAATCTGTAGATGATCATACTGGACGCCTTGGGAACGGTAAGTCAACAATGGATGGGTCGTCATCCGTATCATCCGTATCATCCGTATCATCCGCACCATCTTGCGATATTTGTCTCACTACGGCTAGTAAATGTATTACTTACTATATACTAGTTACTACCACGCTTTCGTCTTGCTTCACTTCGCATTAAGGAACCTTACTTCGCAGGGCCGACTTTATTGAGACGGAGATGTGCCGAGATACACACATACCTTAGCTGAGAGCACATATATCCCATAAGCTCTGACCATCCCCATAGTCTTAATGCTTTCTTGTCCTTATCTTTCTTTCGAAATATCAAATAACTCGCGCTCATGTTAGTCGCATATTAATTAGTATATGCATCGGCCGCAAGTTTGAGAGCCTCGAAGATTGACAGACCCCCGTCGTTTGTGCCCTTGTCCATACCTCCATGGATTCCTTGATTTGGTGCAAGACGAAGGGGTTAGATTCCTGTTCCTCCGGATCCTCTGCGTTTATTGGTGATGATCCTGCCAGAAGCGCAACGGGGAGCCAAATGCGCCTGCAAGACATCCCGTCGTGTTTCGGTTAACCTTTGCTACCTGTTCATGGACACGAGCATGGTGACAAAAGTCTGTGGCACTCATCACACTGGCTAAAGTGACGACGCTGCTTCAGAGTATCGCTGTGTGTACATGCAACATCAGCCAAGGATGTTGAGAGGCAGTGAGAAGCCTAATTGTCGTCCTTCTCCGCGTCGAGGCTGGCCCCTAGCTCGTTGCGGTTCTCTCCACGGCGATTCCGGTGTGCAAACTCGCAAAGCAATTTACAGCCATCTTTGAGGGTAAGGATCGCGCTAGTCGGACGTTGAAGCGGCGAATGCCGCGGCTGTTCCCTGGTTCGTATCGACCATCACAGTTGTTGAAGCGGAATCGTGTGCACGTCGCACTCATCGCCGTAAACTGTAAAGGCGCAGACCATGCTCGAATGACCCTGGAGGGTTTGGAACATGCCCAAAAACAGCGACATGCAGAATCCATCCTGGTCCCGCCCAGCATCAAGCATGCAGCTTCCCGGCGTTCGTCCTTCCATGTCTTTTCAACCCTGCAGGCGAATGCGGAGCAGAAGTGCTAGTCATAAACTCGTAATAATAATACAGAGGTACTGGCGTACGACGGTTAGACACTCGGGGTTCCTTGTCCGAGAGTGGTAACGATGCAGAAGGGAGAACCTCCTTCCTCGATACAGGCTCAAGATTCCATTGTTTGACGAAGGACTTGGTAATCGTAGATAAATATGTACAGAGTACCATACTGGTTGATGTGGCTGCGGTCTGGAACTTTGTTGAGGGCCCATTTCCTTTGTCGCCGTATCTGGGCAAGCGGACGGAGAAAAGTCTGCTTGCACAGGTCAGAATCTACATGACGTGCATCCACAGGGACAGCGACACGACCAGACGATGTGCATCAGTGCAGCCCAGAAGCGGGATCTGCGTCTGCTCGTAATATATTTTCGTGTTTCAGTTGAGGATCTTCAGTGGAATGTTGATGCATATCAGTTGGTGATGAAAATCATGAAATTGCTTGGATGTCTGACTGTGAACGCCTTACTGCCTGACTTGTCTGACAGTGACCTGGACCAGTCCAGACAGTGACTATGACTCGCATCCCGGTCCCATCTGAACAGTCGAAAGATGACAACTGACAAAGACGACAGGCAACATACTGTTCCATTCTATATTCGTCCTTCAAACTCATCCACAATATGAGGCTCGAAGTTTCCAAGAAACAGGAATGGGGATAATGGATTCTCAGTTGGACGGTTCCACGTGGTCCCATCAGAAGGTGTTCTCTCTTATCCTCGCCTTCCGACTCGTCAATGCCTTGACCATCAGGACCTTTTTCCAACCCGATGAATACTTTCAATCGTTGGAGCCAGCTTGGGAGCTTGCCTTTGGGCTACGAGCAAAGGCTTGGATAACTTGGGTAACCTAGACTGATCGGACTCGCATTTTTAAATGAGGAACTAAGCGGACAATGGCAGGAATGGCACCACCGACTCCGATCTTCGCTGCATCCCTTCTTCTTTTCGGCCGTCTACATGATAGCTGGGAGAGCTGCCCAAGCGTTGTCTTTGTCGACGGCAAATCACAGTGCATTGCTTATAGCAGCCCCTAAACTCACCCAAGCAATCTTTGCCACGTGCACCGACTACTTCACATGGCGACTCGGTGCAACGCTCTTTGGCGAGAAAAGCGCCGCAGCGCGAGCTTCTGTAAGAATCCCATCCTCATCGTTCCATCTGAGAGTTCTAGCAAGTTAGGAGACGGAAGTGTATCTAATATTTATCCAAAGTTGCTAACCACGGTATCGAACCCTTGGCAATGGTTCTGCTCCACTCGAACGTTCTCAAATTCGATCGAGACCACCCTAACCGCGTTCGCCCTGAGTAAATGGCCATGGGAATTGCGTTCGGACCGTTCTTCGCCAACCCAGCCATCGGCTAACAGGATTTTGGAGAGCCGAAGGTATCACTAGTCATAATAGAGATCTATACCTGGGCGCTGACTAATGTGTCCAGGGCGCTGGCATTATCACTTATTGCAGCCGCAATAGCTTGTGTACTTCGGCCCACAAACCTCCTCGTATGGGTTTGTGTAGCATCGATGTCCCTATTGAGGGCTGCAAACGTGGACCGACTTTTTCTAGTGTTCAGTGCCGCCTTATACGGGTGAGTTGACTGAATATACCAGGAACTACCCTCGAGTGCAGTTGAGCCATGTATGCTGAAACTCGCAGTTTATTGGTCCTCTCCATCTCCGTGCTACTTGACAGAGCATATTACGGGGCGTGGACGATGCCAGCCCTTCGATTCCTCGGACTTAACGTTGGCCAGTCAGTTGCATCTTTCTACGGTCGCAACCGATCCGACTATTATCTTACGGAAGGTATCCCGCTGCTCTTAACCACTGCCTTGCCGTTTGCGGTTCACGGTGTCGTCTCATCCCTGAAACCAGTACGGAGTGGAGTGACTGCTCAGGAGTCGGTGAAACACCAAACACTGAAAACACTCTCTTATACCTGCGTCCTTGTGACAATCGCCTTCTCGTCTATTCCTCATAAGGAAGTCCGCTTTTTGTATCCTTTACTGCCAGCCTTCATCGTTCTTTCTGCTCCTTCAATTGCACATTTCGTCGACAGAGCCAAACGCAGCAATAGGTATCGGCCTGCAGCCTTTGTAATGATGGGTCTCAATGTTGCTATTGCCATTTATACGACTCAATTCCACCAACGTGGGGTTGTGGATGCCGTACATTTTCTTCGGCAGCAATATGAGATGAGCGCCTTTACCGACCGGCCCTCGCCCGCCATATCCGCGGTCTTTCTCATGCCATGTCACAGCACGCCATGGCGCTCTCACCTTGTATACGCAGATATCAATGCATGGGCACTGACATGCGAGCCACCAATAGGCTTGCCTGAAGATACGAGGGCGGGTTATCTCGACGAAGCCGATCAGTTCTACGATGACCCTCATAGCTGGTTGTTATCGAATATGGCGGATGATGAAGGAACAATTCGCCGGGATCGTTCAAATGCGGGGAGGGACGGAAGTCGGAGCAACGAAAGCACCATTCCCGGTCAAAGGGGGCCTGGTCAAGATAAAAGGCCCTGGCCGGAGTACCTTGTGTTCTTCGAGCAACTCGAAGACAGCTTGCTCCCGTTCAAAAGTGATCTTGGTTATGAGACACGTCAAAAGTTTTTCAACACACATTGGCACGACGACTGGAGAAGAAAAGGAGACGTTGTAATCTGGCATCGTCCGCAACCTGTGGTGGATTCGATTGCAAATCAATGAATTGCGTACTCTGCATTTTACGCTTGAGAGTTTGCGCTCAAGCACGTGTGGAATCATGATACGATGATACTCATAGAATGACCTTCGATGCAACCCCAAGCAACCATGCCGCGTCCCTCCATCCACCGTCCTGCCCAGGGGGTGCGATGTCAGCAGCAGGCAGTGCTTTAGAATCCGAACCTTCAGCAAACGGTGGCTGTCGTTGGTCACCTGTGCCGTCTGCAGCCGGAGGGGAAACTTCGAAGCTGTTATTGTCATCGCCGTCCTCCTCGACCTCAAACAACGTCCAGCCCATCAGCCGGTCCACCCAACCACCAAAATTCGCACTCTGGTCCCGGGCGAGCCTCGCCACTTCTTCCTCGTCCCGTCCGTCTTGTTCGTCATCGCCATCGTCCTGCTCAAGGCTTTCCTGCAGCACCCGCTCGTCCACAAAGTCTGGGCCAGTTACGGAATCTCCAAAAAAGTAATCCCCATCACCACCTGCTGGGGCTGGCCCCCTCGTCATTGGCGTCAGCATCTCAAGCCGACTCCCGGCTCTTGACCCTCTTCTGCTGATCCTCGCGCTCCCAGGCGCACTCCCAGGCCTGCTCCCAGGCGACCAGCGTTTGGGAGTGGTCGGGGACGCTTCATCGTCGCCGAAGCGGGTCCGTCCTTGGCCGTTGAGTCCATGGTGGCTGGTCCCCTGGTGGATTCTCTGTGGGTCCGCATTGTCGCCTAGCATATTGGTGCTGCTCTCCCGGCTCACCAGCCAGCTTTGGCCCTTCGATTCCCGCGTTTCGGACGCAATCGCCAGACCGGCGCGGTAGAACCACGTCGCATCATTCCCCGCCCGAAGGAGTCGCGGGCCGGTATGTCGGCGAACATGATGCCGCCCGGCCGGATCGGTAGTCAGGATCGCGGCGCCTCCCTTGTGAGCGACCGGATGAGCGAAAAGCAGAGCCGATGAGCTCTTCGCTTTGGTCAATGCGATTTGGTCGGGTTCGGCGGTGCCCGTCTGAGCTACCACGTGTCCTTCATGAAGGTACTGCGAGCGACGCGTCCGGCTATGTCGACTCGGGGAGCGGCTCAGGATGCCCGGCGTTGAGGGTGCGGATCGGCCCTGGATGTAAGAAGCTTGTGGAGGGAAGGATGGCGAGGTCGGATCGTAGGGTGCGTCGTCGTCGTCGATGGGGAAACGGGAACTGAGAGGCGCCAGGGACAGGTGGTTGAGGTTCGGAAAGGACCTGCGAGATGAGGGTCGGGACAGAGGAGGAGTGGTCTTGGAGAACTCCATCTCGTCCGACAAATGAGGGGAGGGTTTCAAGAATGATGTTTTCGAATTACTTTAGGCAACGGATTTAGGATCCTTCAATTTGAAAGAAGTATTAACACTGGTGTGGGCGGTAAGATAGCTTATTATTCTATTATTGAGATGTGAGTTTGATATCCTGACGTTGAATGTTGGGGAAGTTGGCGGCGCGGCTTCCACTCATGCCAACCTTGACTGGTCCTGCATGGATGTGTTGCGGCCATATCCCTGTAGTTTGCCTGCAAAGAGTAAAGCTCCCGGTTATATAATTCAATTACAAATCAACTATCTGTACATTACGTATGTAATCACGTCCATCCATCACATGTATCGGGGAGCAGTTCGGTTTAAACGTCTTGATGGATTGTATCAAAATGCGTACGGAGTATCCGAAGGCCAAGACTTAACCTAAACATGCTTCAAAACTCCAACATGCTCTAGATAAAATCTCTATTGCGTTGGAAGCCCGGATTCTGAAACAAGATGATCCGATGTTGCAATAGGCCCTTCACCAACGCCCGTCAATATCACTCGGCTGACTCCCGACTTCAACACGGCCACCACACGTTCGTCGAGGCCTTCTATAGGTGCTTCTTGGACCTGTGTCCCTCTATCCCCTGCCCAACCATCCTTATCGCCGAGGAGTGACTTGAAAACCCCCGCAACTTGCCCTTCGTTCTCCGCCAGGTAGTAGACCACCGCGTTTGGCCCGGCGTCAAAAGTATATGCGGCGACATTCCTGCCTACCCGTTCGTTGATGGCTTCCACAAGACGCACGGCGGCCCTGGAGGTTTCGTTCATGTAGAAGATAGGGGGAACGGTGTCCAGGCACACCGCATGGAAACTATTGCTGTCCTGCATCGTCAGGTCCGCAAACGTTGCGAAGTCCTTCTTCGCAATCGCCTCCTTCATAGCGATCATCCGTGCCGGCACCAACTTCTCCACACGCAGCGGGAAGAGCGTGCTCGTGGCGGCCGTCTGCTGCATGCCGGCCGTGCTGGGCACGCCTTTCTTCTCGGCACTGGCGACCACGACCAGAGCGCGCATCTCCGGCCAATGCGATGCCGGCGCAACTTCCACGGCGACGCTGTCATTCCCATCGGCAGCAGTGCCAGCATCCCACGCCACATATCCTCCGAATAAGCTGCGGCAAGCCGAGCCGGACCCTTGTCGTGCGATGGCAGAGAGTTCGGTGGGTGACTGAGGCAGCTCATAGAGATTGGCAATGGCGCGAATGAGGGCAGCAAATCCAGCGGCGGAGCTGGCAAGCCCGGCTGCAGTAGGGAAGTTGTTGATCGAAACGATGCGAAGCGGCCATTGCGAAAGCTTGGGGAGGGAATTGTCTCGGTCCTCGAGAATCTTGCGTAAGGCTCTTAGACGAGCAAGGCATGCTTGCGATCGCGGCGTCGTAAGAGGGGACGGTTCCCCATTTAGTATTAAGCTGTCGTCGTCGGAAAAGGCTTGGGAGCAGGAGGCCGTGGTGTGCGCTTTGAGATCGGATTGGGCGAGAGTGACGGATAAGGAGGAGTTCGTGGGGAGGTTTAGTTTGGCGTCTCGTTTGCCCCAGTACCTTCAGATACAAGCGAATCAGTCAGCGATTCAGAGTCGAAGTTGAGGCGAGGAAATCCATACTTGATCACTGCGATATTGACTGGGGCGGTCGTACTCGCACGGTAGACTCGGGAGTCTGCCATTGCGATGTGAGATGGAGAGCAAGAAGTGGGAGCCGATCAGTGAAAGGCTGCGACTACTAGAAATGAAGAAGATGAATTCGTAAGTCAATTGTCGCGGAAAGAAGGCTTTTCAATCTTCAATTGCAAAAGCAGCGAGCAATCCAAGAGACCTGATTTCAGCGATTTGGGCTTCAATTCCTTGTGGTCTGGTGAGCGCCGAGCGGTGAACATTAGCAGGGTCTAATACTACGAACCGTACAGTATTCTATGGAAATTCTCGGTATTTATGGATTAGTCATCGTCAACAGGGATATGGCGTTCCCGACTTCATGTTATCATGGATCAATTTATTGTGGAAGGACTGTATAGTAATTAATTATCGAATTGCAGTCCGTCATCCGTGGCAATATCACAGCAGCGTAAATCCACCTCAAGTTTCTGGATCTCTTGCCTTCAGACATCGCACATAATCGGAACTCTACCGCTATCACTATCTCAGACGTCAACTGCTGGCGTGCCATCGCCGTCATGAGCAACAACTCGGACAAATCTTCAGCCACATCATGTCCAATTGATGACAATGCTCGCGCAGCCTGGCTGCGACAGAACAATTCCAACTCCTCCTCCCCCCCGCCGTCCAATAAGCCGGATACGTCACCAGACCCATCATGTCCAGTCGATCACAACTCTCGCTCGGCGTGGCTGCAGATGAACAAATCCAACCCGTCCCCTCCCTCGCCACCCGACGCGTCGACCATCCTTTCGCAACTCCCTTCACCGCACCCGAAACTAGGATCGACCCGTGAGGTCTCCACCATACCGCGCGGAGAATCCTCGCCCTCGCAAGGCAGCTACCCCTCGAACCATGAGATTGAGTCCGGCATTGACAAGTCGGGCAAGTGGATCTACCCGTCCGAAAAGATGTTCTTCGATGCGATGAAGCGGAAAGAGCACGATCCGAGGGCGGAGGACATGCGCGCGGTCGTACCGATACATAACGCGGTCAATGAGCGGGCATGGAAGGAGATTATAGCATGGGAGAAAGGCCAGGGAGCGGAAAAGTTGGTCGTCCATTTCACGAGTATATCATCATGGCGATAGATAATGGCTAACATGAGCTCGGAGCAGATGCGGTGGCCCGAAATTGCTATCGTTCTCGGGCATGTCTACACAACTGACACCTCGCGCCCGCTTTAATACATTACTCGGTTACCAAGCGCCGTTCGATCGACATGACTGGGTCATCGACCGCTGCGGAACCCGAGTCGAGTACGTGATTGACTTCTACCAGGGCCGAAACGAAGGAAGGGAAGGGAAACCCCTCAACTTTTACCTCGACGTGCGACCCAAACTAAACAGTTGGGAAGGATGGAAAGCGAGGGTGGCGCGTACGATCGGTCTATGATGGAGCGGAAAAACGTGAGCGTAGGTGTTGGGATACGAGGGACTCGGTGATATTTTGTATTCATATACTGTAAGATATGTTGAAATGAAGGCGAGCAGGTCACCGTGGTGCTTCGTTGGGTCTATTTCGCTGATATGGAAGTGTTGGATGCCCAAAAGCCAATGGGCATTGGCTCCTGTGTCTAAACACCAACAGTCAACCCGATGGGTAAGGTAGGTAATACCTATTTTGAATTGATCAAACAATCCCAGCTCATGAATCAGACCAGATCGACAGTTAATAGCATCGCCACATACCATATACCAACCAGCGATGGGCAACACAGTGACAAGACCGTCAAACCCCCAAAGCCACAGATATCGCCTGCTATATCTCTGGTTTCGAATACCCAAGGATACATCATCCTGCTGTTTTTAAACCCCTGCATGCCATTTGGGGTCCTGCAAACTTGAAGTTTGCCATCTCATGAAAGACATTCCAACGGACGTTGCACGATACAGCTGCTTCATGTTATACCGACCTCCAGTGAGAACCGAAGAGCCCCCAATGGAGCGGAACCTGTATTACCAAAGAATGGCAACTTCAATAGGTATACAAACCTCTTGCTCAGCCGCCTTGACAATCCATTCCAGCTGTCTTCGTCGTGTTGTTTTCATTCTTGTCGCTGTCAACCCGCGCTATCATAAGCTCCCGATTTTGCATTGATCGCGTTTGATACGGTGGATCCGTTTCATGCGAATATGTCGCCTCACCATTGATGGGGTTCAACCATTTCTTCCCTGAATTTTTGGCTCTGGCCACACACGCATCATGCAGCAAGTTCTCCGACTCTCATCCGATGCTGCCGCCTCACTGCCGTGGATTCGCAAGTGGAGATGGTTACGCGATACGCGGCGTATATGTGCGCCACGAGATGAAGATCGCTTGGGCAAGTGGAGGAGTTCTGGGTAGTCGAAGATGACCGCACTTCATGGACGCCGCTATATGGATGGGAAGGCACGAGAGGATCGTCCGGTGATCATCTGGACCGCCACATTCACCAATCGACAGTCCAAAGCCCTAGTGGTCTATCCTACAGTGCGATAGCGTTGGATCCGAGTCTAGCGATTCTGAGTGATGAACGAGGCGGCATTTCACGAACGAAACCATGGTTATTTGACACGGAATGCATTCGAATCTGCACCATGGCACGCGAGGTTGACCGTCGCACAAGACTGGGGACGGCCGAGGCTGGGATGCGAGTAATGAGTCTGTACGCCGGCTTGTTGCAATCCTGTATACTTGTCATCATCTTATTCTCCCTCGTCCGGCGAGTGAACAAGACGCAGAAGAAGTTTTGAAAACCATCGCTAATGTTGAATCTCTAGCCCTCTGTCTACGCGGAATGGATGGCTGGCGACATCCATGGACGGCTTGGTGGCCGATGGCGATCCCGAGCAGATACGATTGGAGCATGACGATATCTCGTCTGCAGTGATTCCGGCCATATCAGACCTCTGATCGACCCCCCCACCTGTCTCATATATTGCACAAATGGTTCTTGTTGTCTTCTTGTCTTCCTTAGTAACAACACACATGTTACCAACCGTGGACGTACTGTCGACGAGCAAAGCGGCTATAGGATGGCACCCGGAGATTCGATGGAATCCCGGTCTCGGATTTGTGACTTTCATCTCTAGTTCTGTTCTCGATATCTGTATATATAAGTATGTATGTGCCATGCAGTGGCGATGAATTGATATCTCCTGAAGCCATGTGACCTGCCTATAAATCTGGTCCTCGATCTGATATTGACCGAATATTACAGGTATTAAAACGATTAATACGTTAGTTACTGGTACGGAGTTACTATGGGTTAAACTGGCACCGCGGTATTCCCCTTGCCATTCGCAGCTGCGTGTTACCTGCACCATTCCATAATTACGATAGGTCTGGATCTGAACATTGGAGCTCCACGTCTGAAGTCATCTATCTCCCTGCCAGCCTGCCAGCATGTAACCAAGCCAAGGACTCCTGTGTTTATATTACTGTGCAGGACCAGTAGCCTTGTCACAAGTAATCCCGAGCAATGAACTCATCAACTGCGACTAAGTTAATGTAAGTTTACGATACTAGCAAACTGCGGGGAAGCTGAGAACTATCATCGCTGCGGCGACCCCCCTGCCAACTTCCAACTTCCAAGGACGCCAAACCACAGCTATCTACGGCCTCCAACGCAGGAAGTTGTTATTATTCCGACCAAAGAACTAATCCCCCAGACCGGGACAGAGTTACAGGCAACGGGCAAAGGCGGCAACCCCAATATCAAGTCAATTATTCCACATCCCCTTCTCCATCCTCTCGAACCCTACCACCGTTCCACCCACGTCCTTTCGCGTCCACGTCCAACTGCGTATACTACGACGTTACCACGACGTTTGCTACTCCCATCCGCTCATTGCTCGCCTCCAATTCTCTCGATTCACGCTTGAATCACCTTTGTTAGACGCGTCAAGCTTGCAAGACGACGCAACGATGCTCGTCCACCGTACCCGTCCCCTGGCCGCTCGCCTTGCCCATTCGCCCGCTTCGATCCCTCTCTCTGCCACATTAGCCCTCCGTACCTTTTCTTCCGGCGCCTCTCTTAACGAAGAGCGCGCCCCGGCCCTGGCTGACATCACTGTGGACGGCGTGGATCGGTTCAATGCGAGGCAGCAGGACTTCCGTACCCAGCTCGCCGATGCACAGAAGCGCAAGGACCAGCTAGAAAGTGCGTTAGATACCCTTCGTTTATTTCTACCTTGGGGACTGCAACCGTTTTCTTGTCTCTGCCGACCCCTTCTTCGTCGAAGCTAACCGGTATCCTCTCTCACAGAAGAAGCACGCGCTCGCGAAGTGGGCGAAAACGGTTCCAAGAAGGGCCGCCTCTCCACTCTTCTCCACGGCACACCCGAAGGCCGCGATTACGACAAACAGATCGAACAGAGCTTCAGCCAAGTTCTTGCGCGAGGCAAATACGTCCATAGCATCGTCTTTCACGAGGTCAAGCCGGGAAAAGTGGACGAATACGTTAAGTTGGTGGGTAGCTGGTATCCGCGTGTAGCCACCAATCCGCAGTTCAAGGTGAATCTTGTGGGTAGCTGGAGAACGGAAGTCGGAGATTGCGATACCTTCGGTACGTTTCTATCCTACAGCTCACACGCAGGCGTCATCGGACTCAGATCCTAACACTGCGCTCAACAGTCCACATCTGGGAGTACCAGCGGTATCAAGGCTACCATGCCTCTCTGCACGCCATCCAGCGGGATCCGGGGTTCGGTCCATTTGACGCGCAACTGAAGAACTTGATAACCACTAAGAGCACCTCTCTGATGCAGGAATTCTCCTTCTGGCCGACCACGCCTCCCCGCAATCTCGGCGGCCTCTTCGAACTCCGATCCTACACCCTCCACCCCGGCAACCTTCTCGAGTGGGAGACCCATTGGCGCCGCGGCCTGAAAGCCCGCCGCGAGGTGATGGAAGGCGTGGGCGCCTGGTTTGTCCAGATCGGCGACCTTAACACCGTCCACCATCTCTGGCAGTTCGCCGATCTCGAGGAGCGGAAGGTTCGGCGGGAGCAGAGCTGGAGCATCGAGGGGTGGGGCGAGACGGTACACAAGACCGTGCCGCTGATTCAGACCATGCGGAGTCGGATTCTTATTCCGATGCCCTGGAGTCCCGTTGCCTAGATATTTGGGCGGGCGTAGACTTTACTAGGAAAAGGCCTTGAGCACCTCAGGAACCTCGACGAGTGGTGAGCTGCGAGATTGGAGACCTGTCCTCATACTCGGGCTTTATTCTAGTCTTGCTGGGAGGCGTTCGCGTTGCTTCGATCATTTGAAGCCCATGGGATCTGAAGCGGTAGCGGAAAAGCCCACAAATTGAGTTACTGAAGATGGTGATTGAGCGGTCTACCACAACGATACCTTTGTACTGAGAGTCTCTTCCGGGATCAACACTAGCAGGAGTTAATTGAACAAAATTCAAGCGATGGTTTGCAATGAAGTCTTATACATAACATGCTTCTGATCGTTGACTATGCTAGAACTGACATGCCCACGTATTCGTCTGATGATAATCTATCAACCCTCGGTAAGGCACACATGCGGTTTTTGTGCCAGAGAGACACGGAAAATTCTATCCACACCCGCCCGGCGACGATCTCGCCAACTCCTCAATACTGATCAACAACCATGGATAACCCCGAACTATAGTACATCATGCCCTCCGTAGTCGTGCACTCGAACACCATGCGATTTTAAAGAAATGGAATCATGCGGCAAAGGGGATGCGAACGTTGGAATCGGGGAAACAGCGGATGGATCTCGATTTCCTTGCTTCCACGCCATATAAACTTCGGTGGTGCTCATGCTCACCCCTATCGGTTTCCGCTCAGCTTAGAATAGCCCATCGGCTTGAACGGCAGCTTGCTCTGCTTGAGTCGTCCGGCCGCGACCGCGAGCGAGGATTTGGTGGACATCGAGAGCCGCGAAGCGGACGCCGCCGTCTGGGATCGGGACGTCATGCCGGTGGTCGGGCGCGTGACGGATTTGCGACGGCGGGGAGGGGTCATCGCCGCAGCGGCAGACATCGGTCGGGATGAAGCCGATGGCCCACTCTCGAAGTCGTTTACGTCGGTCGACGGCGGTTCGGCTGAGAGCGGGGGGCCCACGAGAACGGACGGCCTCGGAGAGATCAGGTTGGAGATCATGGACTTGAATTTTCCAAGGCCGGTTGGCTCGCTTTGGGCCATTGGAATCATGGGTTCGGCGGTCTTGGCCGGCGTGGTGGCAGGGGTACCGCCCGCGGAGGCGATCACCTTCTTGTGCATCGGCTTGATGCCTCGTCGTTGGCGAATCTTGCAGGCGGCCCATTCGACATTCTCGCTCTCGCCGAAGACGCATCCGGAGCAGAACCACAGACGATGATCCGGGTCGTCGATGTACTTCCGCGTGATGAACGGTATGTGGCACTGTTGATGCCAACGGGAATCACATTCAGTGCACGTGAGAATGTGATTCTTATCGTTCCACTCGGTCTTGGTGCAGCCCTTGCACTCGACATCGAGATTCTTCTTCTTCTTCCTCAGATGCTCACCGAGCACCGCCTTGTGCATGGGTTTGATCCCGCGTCGCTGGCGAATCTTTGAAGCCTGCTTGACCGGATCGCTGTCCTCCTCGAAAACGCAGCAGTTGCAGAACCAATAGCGTTCCTCATCATCAATGTACTTCTGTGTGATGACGGGGATGTGGCATTGCTGGTGCCATGGCTCATCACATTCGTCGCAGAACACAATGTGATTCTTGTCGTTCCAGTCGGATTCCTTGCAGCCCTCACATGCTTTACCACGGGATGCCTTTGATACCTTTCGAGACTTGGTAGCGGATTCCGGCACGTGTGGCTGGACTTTCGGTTTCTCATTGGAAGCAGAGACCCTCTTCCCCTTTGGTTTGTCGCAGTCGGAGCAGAACCACTCGCTGTCCTCATCTTGAACGACCGCCTTCGGGATGGCAGGGTCATGGCAGCGTTGATGGAACGTGCGGTCGCAGGCAGAGCAGTAAACGATTTTGTTGGCAGCTGGACTGTTGCGTTTGCTGCAAATCGTGCAAGCAACATCCTCCTCGTCGTCGCTTTCGCTTTCGCTGTCGGAAAGGGAGTGGATGCTTGCGTTGGCAGCTGGAAGTGGATCTTTGCTGCGTTTGATCAGGCGCGGGCAGTACGAACAGCACCATTTCTTGCGTTTATCATTGATAACATCCTTGCCAATGACCGGATTGTGGCATTTTTGATGAAATGCTCGTGGGCAGTTGTCGCAGAAAACGATGAGGTTGGAGGGGCGGCTGTCTACTCCGCCGCAGATTTCGCAAGCCGGTTCCTCGATCGTAGAGTCAGCTACTTTCCGCTTTCGACTGATAGGGGACGGCTTCGACGTCAAGGTGACAGATGATGAGTTCTTCGACATGCTGGCCCCCTTCACGGCGATCGAGTTGGATCGAGATACCGAATGTACCTCCTTGCCTCCTTTCTTGTTCAAGACTTTCTGTACAAGCGTCTGAACCTTGCGTTTCTTGGATGGCGGCCCATCAGACTCTTGAGCTGCCCTGGTTGCGCCGAAGGAATCGTTCAATTTTCGTTTCGCAAAGACTTTCCACTGGGATGCCGATGAAGAGATAGTTGCGGTGGTAATAGGCCCGCCTTTCTTCGGTTTGGGCTCGTTCGGTTTAGGTCCTAGGACACCCCGGCAATTTGGGGAACCGCATAGACAACTCTGCACGTTGTCGGCAGAGAACGGACTGGTACACCTGTTAATTATGGTTTGTTGTGTTTTTGGTGAATATCTTACCTGAATTTGTAATCATAAGTCAGTTCATCTCCAGTGGAGATGCCAAAGTCACCAGCAAAGAGCGCAATTCGTTCTTCGCCACGGACGGTCCATCGATCCATATAGCAGTTCGGATCGCATGAGTGGTTCACAAACCTAGCGATTGATCCTTTTTTACCCCCAGCATCGATGATCAAGTTCTCTTGCAGAGTCATCATATAAAAGTTCTTCGTTACAGCGTCAGCAGTCCGATATCCGGTGACTGATAATCATCAGTGACAGTAACTCACCTTGTGATCTTTATATTCTTGGTTCATCCGTCGATCAGCTTCTTCTTGGGTGATGATGTCTCCCGTGTATTCGATGATAATTTCATGAGGCCGATAGCTGCGTACCGAACGTACACCAAAACCGCGGTCTTTCGTTTCCATGACTTCAACGCCTCGTTCAAACGCATTCAAGCGACGAGGACGAGAAAGTACGGCAAACTGGCGATTCTGGCAATGTTGAGCACCGACGTTGCAGTTGTTGTCGTCGCATTCAAAATGCATAGTCCGGTTCATGCAGTCTTCCGCACAGCCTGACGCGAGAGTGCAGCGGCAGAATGACTGCCCGTGGTGATCGATGAGTTTATACTCGGCAGCGTAACCCATGTAGCGGCCTGTACATTGTTTGTTTAGGAACAGGCTTTGATATTCACCCACACGTGGGGCGACTTACTCTTAGGTACTGTCTCTTTCAACACCCAGCCATCTTTAGGCTTCGCTTCGTAAGGCAGCAGACTCAGAACATCATATGGCAACCGGAAATCCTGGCCTTGCCGAATTTTGAGTTCCCCTACGAACATGGGCATCGGCAGATATTTCCGTTCCTTCCCAGGAGATTCTAGAAGCTTTGGCTGCTGGCCTCCTCGATAGGTCGGATGATCGAAGTTCGGCTCATAGAGGCGGACCTGCCCAGCATACAGACCATGCTCTTGCCACATCTTGCGCTTCGGCTCTGGCGCCGTCAATTCCACGATCTCACTTGATGCAGAACTGCTGACCAGGTTGTCGGCGTGGGAAAGCCTGCTTCGTTTCGCCCGGGACGTGTCATGCTCAGTCCCGTCTTGGTCGTAGAAATGCGTTCGCTGCCCTGATCTTGACGACATGCGCCGCAGCACTGAAAGACTGTTGCTGTTCTCGACTACATCTCTTGCTCGTTTTCCGAGGGACGACGCAATATCGGATACGGCGCCAATGACAGTGTTTCGTCGAGATGGTCTCCGCTCGCGTTCAGAGCGTCCTAGGCTCGCAAGCGGACCACTCATCTCATTGCCATTCAACAAAGCGTGATTATCATTCAAGGGCTGCAGCTGATCCTCTGCTTGGCTAGGATTCACAAGGGTAGCCCCACTGACAGACTTTCTTACCCCATGCTTCGCAGTTCCCGAGAGGACGTTCAAATTATAACTTGTGAGGGTATGGCGCTCTCGCACGCTCCTTCGCCGGGATTCTCCGGCTTCATGGCCTTGGTCGATATTTGTGATATTCGTGTCAGGGGTTGGCTTTTGACACGGAGGTATGTCGCTCTCGATGGTGGTCGGTGGAGTGGAAGATGATGCGGAAACCGACCGGGAGCTCAAAAGGTCGTGGGCGCTTGAGGAACGACTCTCCTGGTCGATCTGCTCCACTACGCCCCTGCCCCTTACTATAGCCATACTCGAGATGTGCGGTGGAACTGTCGCATTCGAGGCAAGATGATGTTAACTTGGATGGAAATAATGCAATGAACTGGTGAGTTCGAGGCTGACAAGAGCGTAGAGGCGAAGGCGTTCCTCGTCACTTGGTCCGGTGTGGAGGAAGGTGGTAGGATGATGGAAGGCGCAACTGAAAGGTTGGGCGTAGGCACACCACACTGATCAATCACTGATCAATCACAGTGCACGTGCAGTGTCTATTCCGACAAGTCTGGCTAATGATGCGACCGAAAGTGAAGATGTCAGTGGTGAAGACGCAGTAAGCAAGTGTGCATCGACGCGCAAGGAGTAGTTGGAAGGGCTGGAATGGATCGCGTCGCGACTGGAGCACTGGACCCCAAAAGTGACGGGAATAGCGCGTGGATTTTGAGTTTAGAATATTTTGGGGGGGAAGTTAATGAAGTTATTGAAATAGTTCACAATAGCCAGCAACTGAACAATGGCGGTTGCGCGCGTGGGTGAATTATATGGAGGCAGGCGGCGAGAGAATCCGGAGGAGATGAGACTGACGGACGTAAACGCGGATTGAGGTTTGCGCGGTTTTGATGGAACCCGACCACGGAAAGGGAGTAATAAGGTGGTAGAACAATAATAATCATAATACCTGAATACAGCTAATAACGTGCTAGGAACTCAGCTAGGTCCCGTAATACCTGGAGATGCCCCGTGCTTCAGCATGTCATCAATAACACGATCCGTTTCGGGGTTAGCCCTCCCTGACTCCCTCCCACTCATTCACCCACTGAATCTGTCAGTCATCCACCACCACCTGTCCCCAGCAGTGTCACATCATAAGGACAGTGGAAGTTGAGCACGTGAATGAAACTACCTTTGCATTGACTCCTCTCTGATTCCTTTTTACAAGAAATCTCCTCTTTTCGACTTGCAAACGTGAAAGGCGCGTCTGATATGACTGAATTGCTGAAACGCACTACGGCCTGGGGACTAACTGAGGCCCCCGTGCATCACTGAAATTGGCCCCTCACGCTCTGTTCATATTGCCCGATCCTACTGTCGCCTAATCGTAGAATATCCGCTTTATAACTTCGCCTTCGGATTGGTCACGTTCGTCGCCTCTTGGTTCAATGTGACATTGCCTGGCTTGTCATCTTCCCCGAAGAAAATTACCTCCACGGTGAGATCGTCCCTAAACCCAGTCACGTCAGTTATTTCACACGCAAATATCTCATCCACATGGGATCATACCTGTATCTCCGCGAGAACGGACTCGGCAGGGTGAGCAGTGCGCAAAGCGTGTCTTGATCTTTACCTCCTAGCGCGTTCCTGACTAGGTGCGTCGCCGCGTTTTTATCCTGGACAATGAAGCGTTCTCCCCACGATGCCGTGACACCCCACTGCTCCTGTCTGATTGGAGCACGCTGGCCACTTCCGTCACCATCAGATTTGGGCACCTCCACCGGAAGCGTTCCTTGCGCTCCAAACCAACTACGCAACCAGGATTGACTCTTCCCATTTTTCGCGTCTGCTTGGGCCTCGAGCCACTGCCCGACGAGTCCGACCACTTCCTCGTTCGTGAGCATTTCCCATAGCCCGTCAGTCGCCATGACCACAAAATCGCCTTTCCCAGGCTCGACTTTCGTGGTGGTGACGACTGGCTCGGCCGTCACGTATGGTGGCGTCTTGAGCAGCTTGTTCCCCGCCCTACCAAAGTAATTTTGCTTCATCTTTTTTTGGGTCTCCAGACTCCACTTGTAGGAAGCATCGCCGAAAGCTCGGCTCGGCTCCAGTCCGCCTAAGACTCGGCCTGCAGATACAACGTGGGGTTCCCCTGGATGCTCTCGCCGCAGTCGCGCAGCCTCCTCGGGCGTACCGCCGGTTTGATCCACCGATAGAGGCGTTGCAGTCCACTTCCCATTCGAACCACGGCGCCCTATGATGGCGCGTGAGTCGCCAGTGCATGCAACGCGTAAAAGCTTGCTCTGGCTATCATAGAACGAAAGTAGCGCGCAAGACCCCGAAAGGGCGGGAGCGAGGAGTTCCGCAGCGGCGCGTTTCGACTTGGCCTCTAGCACTTTACTCACTGATTTATGGACGATCTCATTGTCGAGACGAAGAAAGCCTTTCTTAATCGCCGCATCGATCGCCTCGGGGGTCGGTAGGGCTGGATACTGAGCGGGACCGGACTTTTGAGGTGATGTATATGTGTCGTTCAGCTCCCGGGCTACGTACGAGATGAGCGTCTCACGGAGCTTGGCTGAAGTGGTCCAACCGCTAGTCAAAGATTAGCCATATGAAACAAAGAGGAAGCTTGCAGTGCATACCTGTGACCGTCGAATACACCCCAAAACATCCAATCACTGCCACCCATGGGGTCAGTGTCCTTCGATGGCACCTCCACAATCTTCTCTGCATGGTCGTCTTCGATGGGATCGTTGCTCGGTATTTGAACCACGTCATATCGCACCACGCCCTTGCCTCTGCCCACAAGCCAGGACTGTTCGTTCTTTCGCAGCCTCTGCGTTGCTTGCTCGGGGGTCATCATCTCTAAAACCTTCCGCCCTGCGTCGTCCGTATCTTTAGACAAAGGGCCGTCTCCAACCAGTTGCCCGGAATATAACTGTCCGTGCTCGATAAACAAGGCTTTCCTCGTCGCTTCTGCCTGCGAGGTCGTGTGTATCGATGCGTCACCTGAAGCGGACTCTGCCAGTCCGGTCTTTCCTCGAAACGCGTAATAAGCGCCAGAAGCAACGAAGCCTGAAAGCAAAGCAACGGAGAGATTGCGCATATGCATCGACGAGGTCAAAGCGGGGAACGCGGCTCGCTCTCGACGAAATGAGAGCGAGCGCAACCCATTAACATAGCTTGGAGATACGACGGGGGATCGAATGGAGACGGTCTTTCGCAGGGTCGGACGTCGAGCAAAACGAAGCACTTGGCTGGTCGCTCGCCGCATTGGAATGTGTGAATGGGATGTGTAGTTAGTTTGACGAGGGCGGTCGAGGAACCGTCCGATTGATACAATGGTAACCAGTACCGAGGATTTAGGACGGTAGAGGTTTGCGGCGCTGCGGTGGATCTCCGCTGTTTTAATTGTCAGCAGTCGCTATCGTACTTCACAGCACCTATAATAAGTAATAAGTAGTACGTACCGGTAGTATTTGATTCAAGTCTCAAATACACAAGCACTGCAAGCACGACAGGCACGTAAGAGTTGTCGAGTTGTTGTAGAGAGGAAGAGGACGAGTGCAAGGATGGCTGCTGAGCTTAGCCCGATGTGGTTTAGTCAGATATTTTGGGATCCTCTTTCTCCAATTGTTCACCTGCATGTAGTTGGTCACATATCTAATCTGCACAGATTCGCGTGCAGCTTGATGCTATTGAATCCTCGACGTTGAGCAGTGGGAGCAGTGGGAGCCAATGGATCCGCGGTAATCTGATTGATATGCGCTGCGAAAGTGTCAGGCAAGGGTCGGTTCCGATATCATAGCGGATGCGTACAGTTCACCCAGGACTCGCTCATCGAGTATCCTCAGTTGTGACAGCAAGAAACTGCGCTATGGCGGCTTATTCATTTAAATATCATTTGGTTGGGGGTTATAAAGGTATATCAAGAGCTGCGTCGTTCAGTGGAGCCCGGAATCCCGCTCCAAGGCAATCAAGACTTTCTTTCATTGCAGGGAAGCTTGTTCCCTTTTCAGCACACCAAATTCGCTGGTATATAGAGGGGCAGAGGTTTGCATTTTCAACCGAGAACCTTCTACACTCCTCGAAATGCAAGATTGTTCTCCCGCCGGCGCGGCCTCTGGCTCTCCAATCCTACCAAATCCGATGCACGGCGCTCTCCCCTCGACACCAGTCCACGGCTGCTCCTGCACACGGTTCCTCCCTTCCACCCTATCAACCACCGACCAATGGTCTTCTTTCGGTCCTACCCCCATCCCTCATTCCCTACGCCGAGCTCATCCGCCTGGACAAGCCCACGGGGACCTACTATCTATTCTTTCCATGCCTCTTCAGCACCCTCCTTGCCGCTCCCCTCGCCACCCCCATCACACCCCCCTCCACCGTCCTAGCAACGACGGCGCTTTTCGCTACCGGCGCTCTCATCATGCGTGGCGCGGGTTGTACCATCAATGACCTCTGGGATCGGAATCTAGACCCACATGTCGCCCGTACGAGGCTCCGACCGATTGCTCGCCGTGCCATCACCCCGTTTCAAGGTGTGGCCTTCTTCGGGGCGCAATGCCTTGCGGGATTAGGCGTCCTGGTGCAATTCCCCACGGAATGCTTATGGTACGGCATCCCCAGCCTGCTGCTCGTGGGGACGTATCCGCTCGCCAAGCGGATCACGCACTATCCTCAGGTCGTCCTGGGCCTCGCATTCTCCTGGGGTGGAATCATGGGGTTCCCGGCGCTGGGGGTCGACTTGCTGTCGAATCCAAGTGCCCTCCATGCCGCCGCTGCATTGTATGCGAGTTGCGTGGCGTGGACCGTGGGGTACGACATGATCTACGCACATATGGATATCAAAGATGACAAAAAGGCGGGAATCAAGAGCATCGCGCTTCGCCACGAGAAGGAGACCAAGGGGGTGCTGACTGGCCTTGCCGCTGTGCAGGTCGGGCTATTGGGTGCCGCTGGTTGGGCCGTTGGCGCCGGTCCCATCTATTATCTTGGAACCTGTGGAGGTGCAGCAGCGACGATGGGCATTCAAATCATCAAAGTCAAATTGGACAGCGTTGCGGACTGCTGGTGGTGGTTCAAATGGGGTTGCTGGTTCACTGGAGGTGCGGTTACAACGGGGCTGCTTGGAGAGTACTTGGTGAGATTCAATGCTGAGGCGCATGAGAATCAGAAGCGAGAAACATCGTTTTGAACTGTGTCTATAAATGTATAACATTGAGTATATTTCATCCATTTCCGCCATTCATATGCATTTTTTCATCACAATCATAAACCCAACATCGTGTGCACATGCTAAATCAGACCCGAAGGGTGCGCAACTGCACCTCTTGAACCGGTGCTCTAGGTTCCATTTGTACGTCCATATCGTCCAAGAGACGTCCTCCTTCTTCATCTGTATTTCCGGCTGTCCTCTCAGACTCTTTCTTAACACTCAAGTCTTTTTTAACTGCCACGAAAATCGCCGATCCAAGGATCAAACTTGACCCTATAAGAGACAGAACTCCAGGCGTAGTACCAAATATGAGCTTGTCGAAGGTCAGTGCGAAGAGCATCTGCGTGTATGTCATATTGGTCGCACGCGAGGACTTTTCGTACTGCAGCCCGGCAGCGAGGAGGAATTGCTGATTGAACACGTTAGTGCAAGTGGGAAAGAATTCCAAATGTAAGACGAACCATGATAAACCCACAGGTCCCGAGAAAGATCAGATAGGACCAATCCCTCAGACTACTGGGAAGAAGAAAACCGACATCTGGAAGAGCCATCATCATCACGATGCTGACAAACGTGCACCAGGTAGCGAAGTAGTTGACGCTGATAAGTGGGTGCGCCCGCTTTCCAATCCACCGGATCGTGGTATATGCACAAGCTGCACCCAAGACACCAAGGAGTGACATCCCCACAGCGCTCGCCCGTTGAGCGGGAGTGACATCTTCATAGTTTCCTGCTTCGTGCCCACTGGAGGGCATGGCTGCTGTCCCGTTTGTGGTTATTGGAGAGACGTCTCCGTTCCCTGCGGCAGGGATTTCCGCTGTGTTGTGCGAGGGGAAGAAGAACGACGTTGGCCGAGCAATGAGGACGACCCCGATGAACGAGACTCCTGCCGCAATCTGTTCCAATCGAGTAAATGGCTCGTTTATGAAGATGCTACATGCCCAGCATGCTATGCTTGGGGCTAGGAAAGTAATGACCGTAGCTTCGGCGAGAGGTAGGTAACGGAGGGAATCTGCTTCAGGATTAGGGCCGGAGAAGGTGATCGTACGCTCAACGTTTACATACAGTACTATTTCCTTGGTTAGCAAACACGTCATGGATGGTGAGGGCATGGCATACCATTCCAAAGACTCCAAAGAACCCTCCAATACCTCGAGCAATAAGAAGGCCTCGAACTTCTTTGGCTCCAAATGGGAAATGTGGGGTCCTAACCCAGTACATGTATATTGATGCGATTACTACGGTAATACTCATCCGTGCGAAGAGAATCTGTTAACCGGCTATCGTCAGAGCTGGGTATCGATCAGGAACCTCCATATCTATTACGCACCTGGAATGGATGGAACCCTTTACCATTATTCCCCTCAATTTCTAAGAGTCGTGTCGTGACATTCATCAAGGTACCAAATATTTGCGCCAGTAACACCAGCCCCAACCCCTTGTTTCTCACCCAGGATGCTTTCAATTTGTCTCGAATGGACTTGCTGTATCCTGAAGAGGCAGAACGTGTACCGTTAGCCTCCGGAGTTTCAGTCCACGCACCATGGTTCGGCTGAGATTCGTCGAATGAAAGGTTCGATATCGTATCTGGTGATTGAGAGCGGGGAAGGCCTGTTAAAGGAATGTTTAGGAATGTGTTCCCATCCTCAGTGGATTTCGGCAGGATCTTTGTGGAGGGGTCGACTGAAGAATGTCGAAAGAATGGGGACTTCACTCGTTGAATCCCGTTGCCCATGATTTCTGGACCTCCCTTCTCATTGTTTTCAGGTTCCGTCCCAGGTGGCGGAAATATAGTCATTGTGTTTCATTAGAGTCGACAACCAAACGCCGAGTCTACTTCTATATCTCGCCGCAGACGAAGTGAAGACTCGATACCAAGAAGGAATAGCGATATAAGACGACTTTGAGGAAACCAGACTTGAAGACTAACAGTCTACCTCAATATAAAGACCGACGGCATCAGAATTCAAAATTTGGCGTATGACAGATGTAGACGAAGAACAGAAGAAGACTCAGTCCAGTTGAAGGGTAGAGGTATCGAGTAAGCATTAGTTGCATTCGTAAGTACTAGAGTCCTCAGTCATGGTACTGGCGGAGTCCGCCCGCAATCGGCTTCCATTTGCGAGTCGAGGTTAGCCAGTCCCCGCCTCAACCGGGCCAATGAGAGCGGGGAAATAACACTGGATATGTGGGAGGAGTGAGCTGCATCGGTTCTTTAGGTTAGTTTTCTAGTTGATGGGGGGGATGGAATCCATCCAGTATGGTTGGGACGAAACTATTCCGCCGCTACGAGTGGAACTGCAGCCATGTCGTTTGCCGAACCCCCGAACGGTACGGGACGGGAAAGCCAACAGGAGCCTGATGGCTGAGCGGGGTTGGGGTTCTGTTTTTACTGCGGCAGCCGGGATTTGGTGACATTGGGCGGGTTGATGCAATAATAGCACGTGACTCCATCACACGGCCAGGCCGCCAGACAACCATAGACCTGAACCTCTGATTTCAGTGTGGTTTTTTGCAATACATTTACGCATCATATTTTTGGGGAGAGGGTGTAGGTATGTCTTAGTAAGAAACTTAGTGTTGCATCAAATGGCTTTTCAGCTAGTCATATTGGCTTGTTACCTATATCATTTAGTACTAAACTGCTAGAGTATTTTATTATCCAATCATATTAGTCCAACCACGATTTCACCTTTCTCCCCTCAGGCACAGTGAATTGAATAATCAGAGAATCAGTGCTCCACAAGAGTCAGTTGCTTCCAGACGGTTATGTTTCTATTCGATCCTGCCCTCCTATTCTACATACGGATATTTTAAATGCGTCCCAATGATCGTTGCCGCTGATATTTGCCACTGATTTTCCTGCTCGAAAAAGCATCGATGCCGTAATAATATAGAACAGACCATCGGAGAATAGCATGCATAGGTAGAATCAGAAGAACAGGGTCTTATATTCACTACAGTAACTTCCTAGCTATTTAGCTGACCGAGAAGTGTTGGAGACAGCCCATGGACCTTCTCGACTGTCGCCTCTGACACCCGATCCGATTGATCAAAGTAGGCGGACAACTGACCTCCGTCCAAATAACGATGGGGTTCTCGACTTTCTAGATCTAGCCAAATCTCCTAAGAAAACCCGATGGCCCAATAGCTTGCAGATTGTTGCTGTAGGTTGACTCATCCCCATACTAGGCACTAAGTTCGGCTCCTGGCAGCTCCGTTGCAGAATGTTCTGTAAAGAATCCTACTCCTCCCCCAGGGACCACAAGTCATAGTGGTTTTCACTGAGGTACCCTCCTGTGTTCATCACCTAAACGACCAACCTCATCCTGAAGACCAGGTCTAATGAGACCGTTGGCCCTTTGGGCATAAGAATTGCTGTGTATAGACGTTACAGGGATTGTTTCAACCATAGCAGGCGAAACATCAGTCTCGTTCCCCCTTTTCAGGCGGTTTGGTCGTAGCGAAACCGTAAGAAAGCCTGCAATTCATCATAAAGGAACTCCGATCAGGTATATGCGGAGCCTCCACAGCAGGCAGACTGAATATTCGCATCTTGTGCAGGTATAACTGGCGCAGACATGAAATCCTTTCCACCCTCCACGCAGAAGAATTTAAAGTAGCTCCAGAATCTAGTGGTACTTCCTAGGGCTGCCTGAGTTGCGTGATGGACAATTCCGAGTGGTTGAGGAGACTTTTACCAGTAAAACAGTCAAAGCAGTCAAAACAGTGTGCGTCAAGAAAACGAAATTGGAGGTCGAAATAGTCCACATTGTTCAGACTTAGAGATCATCCGAAGCTCTTCTTTAAATTGACAAAGCTTTCAAATCTATGACTGGGAAGTGGATTGCATTGAGTAAAGGCCGGATGAGATGACCGAAGGACTAGAATTGCACGCCACTGAAACCTGAAGCGACAGAAAGCTAAGAAACTACATCATTTGTTAGCCTCAAGAGCTACAACTATGTGACAATGACACAATGTAAAGAGATGTATACAAGTTTTGAAAATGGAGAATTGGCAAGTTAACATGAGTGAACAAGACAGAACAGACGCCTAGGAGAGATCACGTGCTGTGGTGATCCAGGATGCATCGATTGAATGACCGCATCAAATCAATTATTTTGTATTTCTAATTCCACTGATATTCCACCATAACGTCGCCATGTCTGCTATATCAATATTCTCATCCGTATGCACTATTCCTTTTGCAGCACTGAACCTACAGAAAGTAACCATGCATCACAGGCCCTGCGGCAAACCGCCCGCCCAACCCGTCTCCTCACATCCCAACTCTCCCGACCGACATGGACTCCTTCCTTTTCCCGCCTCGCACCCCTTCAGGCCCGCCTCCTCTCCGACTCCACGAAACAAGCCATCAACCAAGCTGTGGCGACCTCGCCGGTCGTCTTGTTCATGAAAGGGACGCCGGAAGCCCCGCAATGCGGCTACTCGCGCGCCTCGATCCAGATCCTGGGCCTCCAGGGCGTGGACCCTGCGAAGTTTACGGCGTTCAACGTCTTGGAGGACGAAGAGCTGCGGCAAGGTACGGAAGGAGTGCGCCATGCGTTTGGTCCGATGGAGTGCTAACGGTGCTTAGGTATCAAGGAGTACACGAACTGGCCGACGATCCCGCAGCTTTATTTGGAGAAGGAATTCGTGGGCGGTGCTGATATCGTCATGTCCATGCATCAGGACGGATCATTGGCGCAGCTTCTGGAGGAGAAGAAAGTCCTCGTCCCTGCAGAAGAGGAGAGCAAGTAGCCTGGTCTCCGTATGGGCCGTACGCCCAGTGGAGTCGATGGTTCTACTTCTGTACAACATGTGTTGTATACGACGGATCTGTATGCTACGCGGGCTTCAATTTCTCAAACAGGCCACCATCCAATCTGCCGAATGACATCTTAGGAATATATTCTTCTAAATGGATTGGAACGATGGGTTCAACACGCAGTGGCATAACTTCGGTTCATAAGGCTCAAGTCAGGTCTGGGGATATCAGATCGAGAAAGAACGATTCGAAGTCCTAATAGAAGCACGTAATCCTGAACAATAGTTGTCCCCAATGTGCTACAGTCTACCAACATTCGCGTATCGCTTGCCTTTTGCACCAATGAAAACCATTGCTCGCCAAACCAGGTCAAAGTGCGTCGTCTTCACTGTGCCGCGACAGAACCGCGGCGAAGAATACTGATGCATTCGTTCACACCGTCAATTAAGAATCCGAACCCACACGATCTCACCACGACACCGTCGCAATGAGGGGACGACAGCAGCGGGTACTCATAGCGCAATTCATCGGAACCTTTCCGAGATTCCGCAAGGAGAACTGACTCATAGGACACTTCCAAACTACCAAGGAGCCTTTCTGTTCACGTCCACTTCACTCCTGTCCGAACCCCACCGTTTCCTCCACGGCGATGGTGAGTTTTTGATTCAGTGCCTCGCCCGTCTTGTACGGCGGCAGATCCAGCCGGTTGAAGCACGTGTGGCTCTTGGGTAGCTGGCCCGGCTCCCCGGCCTTTTCGATAGTGAAACGGCGCGGGCCGTCGGAGCCTTGGAGGTCCTTAAAACCGTTCACGGGGATACGTGACGTCCCGGTAGCGAATTGAAGGAGACGGGATTTTTGTTCCGCATCCCACGAGCGAATGCACTGTTGATGCGGTCAGCGAATCTGAACGACCACGATTTGGAGATAGGGATCGCTAGTTACCTTCCAGAAGCTGACGATCACCTCATCGTTCTCCGTGTAGCCTCGGTAATCGGTGTGTTTCTTCCAGTCATCGACGTCAATGTCAGCGATACCACCGATGAGAAGCTCCAATTCTCGTTCGTCGAACACATTGACTAGATCCGAGGGAATGAGCTCATTAAATCCGGTCAGAAAAGCCTGGAACTGTTCCTGAACACGTTTCTGAATTCGCCATTCGGTGATGAGCCTACACCTCGTTAGCATAAATTTGGCCATTGAAGAAATTTGTACCTACTCGACGTATTCCTTCTTATTGTCATTGGTCACTTCAACGTCGTCACCACCCGGCTTCAGCTCCACGGTGATCTGCTCGCCGAATTTGTCATCGATGGTGGTGAAAGTCTCATCGATAGCATCCGTGATGTCATTCTCCCTGTATTGAGTCAGCGATGGGGTATTGATCCGGGGGATCCGGATCCACTTACAGCATCCATGTCAGCGTTCGATGAATATCTGCGTCGACGCCCTCCATGTCCGGCAGAGACACCTTCTTTCGAAGAATCATCTTATAGAAAGCGCCGATGAAAAACGCGTCCAAAAATCGTCGGTGGAAGATCGCTAAGCCAACGACGCGGCCGATGAATTTGAAATAATTCAAATGCTCAGGGTTAATGCCCGAGTGCGGGTTGATTTGAAGGGTATAGTTGTCGTGGGCGGAATACTCAAACAAGCAATAAAAGGGGTTGAACATCTCATGGGACAGGAGGAAGAAGAATTCTCTATACAATTGTTAGTGCGTGCGTGGAGAAGTAGCCGGGTATCATACCTTGACAAACCACCGTAGTCCAGGCCATCTTCGCCATCGAACTTGATCATTAGCCTCTTCTTCAAATCTGCTGGGGTCTGGCGCATGATTTCATGATACGAATCCTCGAAGATATGAGTTCGCCGGATTTTGACATGGCACTGACCCGACAGAATTCGAAGGGCGGGTTGCGATCGGAAATAGATCAACTTTCTCCTGAAGTCGCGCTTGTACTGCGGCACATTCTGGTCGAGGGACGACGGCAATCTCGGGTCATCCCACGTGGTGGTCTTGGTATTGTGATCGACGAAGTAGACGCGGGCGGTGTTGGTGAGGCGCATCTCCCATCCGCTCGGAAGCGGACCGAGCTGCGAAACGGGTTGCTGTTGGATGGTACTGTTGTTCGCGCTACTGCCGCCGTACATGCGAATGTACTGTTGCCGACGGGGATCGACCCACGTCGTGGTTCGTGTGTTGTGGTCGACGAAATATGCCCGGCCCTCTGGGGTGTGACGCTGCTCCCAGGCTGCAGGCAATTCCCCTGACCCAGCTGTTGTAGCACCCGTAGCCATCATCGACACGGCGTTAGCATTCGACGCTTGTGGAGAATTTCCTTCGGACAACGCCGGAGAATTGGCTCCGGTGCGATCTTCAGGGAGCATTCGATTTTGATGCCGAGTCCGTTCGGCCTGTGTTTGAGCTTCAAATGCATTGCGCTGGTCGCGTTCGCTGACACCCGCCTGAGGGCGGACCCAAGTGGTCTGTCGAGTGTTGTGGTCGACATAGTAGGTTCTCCCAAGGTTGTCCTCACGGCGTTCCCAGCCGGCCGGTAATCGCCCTTGCGCATCTTCGAATGCACTATAGCCCGAGTGCCGGGTTGCGGCCATACTCGCGGTGGGAGCAGGAGCCATACTATGCTGGATCTGGGGCGGCGCAGTGGGCGGGACTGGTAGCTGAGGGCTTGGTCGGGTCGGTGCTGGACTCGCGGGAGCTGGTCTGCTGCCAGGATACACGTCGGGATGCAAGGATTGTGATGGCGGGGCGGCAATCGGGGTCGGTGGAGGTTGGCCGTTGACGCCGTTCACGGACGAGCTGGCCGAAAGGTTCCCTTGGAGGGAGGGTCTGGAGGCGTTTTGGTTGGGATTTATAGGCTGGCTAAGGTTCGTGGACATGTTAAGAATGAGCTTTCCGTGAACGACCAAATTGTCATTTGACTTCTTGAGGTCGCGAGTAAGCATTTCTGGGGACAGGTTAGTGGATCTAGTCACTAGTTGCTCGAATTCCCGTAGAACATACCGTCTCCACCGGCGTCGAGGTCGATGACATTTCCTATGCGAACATTCACCACACCAAGGAAACCCTGATCCTTCTTCTTGAACTTCTTCTGGTCAAATATCTGGACTGCAAGGACGCTATCTTCGGTGACGGAACTGTTCTAGCGTCAGTCGGATATTCGCGTTGGCGATATGATAGAACCATACAGATCAAAGCTCTCATTCCAATATGGATTCAGCGTCTTCTTGATGACCGTCGTTGTTTTGGTCTGCTCGCCGTTGATCGTCGCCACAGCGAAAGGATCGGGGAATCCTGCATCGAGGGTCAATGGCGGGGTTCACTCAGCATGGACAAGGCAGCGAAACACGTACGGAACACATCTCGCTTGTAAAGACTATCTGCTGCGACGACTAGTGATAGATGTCAGCTCGATTAGACAACGGGAGGCACGCTGGGCGAACTTACTCGTTAAACGTAGGTTGGCTTGCTGAGCCGCCATGACGACCGTTGGGTCGGATGGAATCCGAGTCGATTAGCGGAGGTCCAGATGAAGATAGCGATGAGGAGAGATTCCCACAATCTCGGAGGACCCCGGCAACGATATGTGGAAGGAAAGCCTCAAGATGCGAGAGGCCGATGATGGAAGGAGAAAGTGCAACTCAGCACGACCACGTTCCCGTTCTGGTATTCCAGTGTGAGGGTGTCGTTGGAGGTGGAGCGAGCTGTGGAGGACGCACGAGGCCAAGGGTCGATCGGAGCGACTGAAGGAGAGAACAAGCCGCCAGTCAGCCAGGGAACTCAGTTGGGACTTGGGACTTGGGGCTTGGCTTGAGAATGAGGTAGGTAAGTTGGCTAGTGCGCGTCGTGAGGAAGTGCTAACTGTGCTAAGGAACAAGCGCCTAGTGGCGACGTGGGTGAGTTTGACGGTGCAAAGTGGGCTGTGCAGCTGCCCGTCCAGGTGCTATTGATGTATTCGGGGCTGTATGTCGTATTATAGGTTCGTGGAAGGCCGTGACGAATTAATTAAGGCAGTGCCTGATATGGTCAGGTCGGTAGGGGACGACTCCTGACGAGGATTCGAACTTTTCCTCGAGTTTGCAGATGACGCTTTGGTGAGAGAGAAAAGGATGGAAAGTTGGTACTGTTCAGGTCCAGTTCCAGTTCGGCGGTTCAGAGGATCGGTGTAAGACTTCAAGTTCCCCGTCCCTCACACTCTCTACTTCTAAGAACCACCGAAACTGGGACTCGAGATGTCCTAATCGCAGGAGACATCAGTTGTCGCATGTCACTTGGATTTTGTGGTAGAAGTTATCCAATGGGAAAATGAAGAAGGTTATCAGAACAGAATCAGATATTGGTGGAAAAAGAGTTTATTTACTTGGGCAAGTACTTATCTCTACTCCGTACCTACTTATGTCCCAGACTCCCAGTTAACTTAAATACAGTAGCACTTACTAAGATACGAAGATCAATAGCAGTGTGCCTAACGACCAGACCAATGAAAGCCGAGTTTTGCTTCTCGAGTATCCAGGCGCCTCTAATAATCCAGCTGCTGGATGGCGAGATGTAAGCAGTAAGCAGGCACTTTGATCGACCGTAGACCTCCATTTGTGGACGATGAAATTTCCACGTCCACAGAACAACTATTTTTAATAAATCCATTGAAGTGAGAACCGAGAGGTGAGAAGTGAATTGGAGACCATCCGATGCCGGATTTCTCGTGGTGAGAGATCCATGCCATTCTTGTCTGTTGGGACTTCTGGAAACCGCTGGAAAGGGACTGTTCCGAACGCAGTACGTACGTATCGTTTTCGTATCCGGCCGCGAGTTAATGGATGCCCTACAGAGTAACGTTGAGTGCTACAGAAAAGACCTCCAAAAACGGAGGTTTCTGACGCCGTTTTCTGCGGTTTTTCCACCTAGGTGAAACGCCCTCGTTTCGTTACCAGCATTGCCCAAAACTCCCTGGCATTGTGCCAAGCCCTGCACACGCTCACCAAAGTCGGATCCCTACTTTGGTCCATCCAACCAGCCCAAACTTGGTGGGGGGCCGATTTTGGACTTCCTGTTTTCAGTTTTTTGACCTTCGCAACTTCAATGCCTCCATGCTAATTTCGGAAGCATGGTTGGTGTCAAGCGATATGGCTCCGCTGCAGAGCCTTCCTCTGCTTTCGTATATAATAACAACCAATGTCCAGGCCCGTCGCTTGATGGATCGTTCCGTCGTGCCCGCTTGTCTTCTCTTCTCTTCCATACTTGGGCCGTCGCTCTTTCACTCCTCCAGACGCATCTCCGTTAACCGGCTGCCTTTGGCTGAATTGCACTTCGCTCTCTTAGGCGACCGCTCTCTACATCGAACTCCGAGACCATCGTAATGGGAAGAGGAAACAAGTCGCGCCCCCGCGGCAAAAAAGATACGCCATGAGACTCTGCGTACTATGAATCGCTCTATGCCGACGATCTAACCCCAGCATTGCGCCCTATCACAGCCGCAACCGAGAGAGGAGTTGACTATGTGTGGAAGAAGTGGACAAAGTGTGTATTCGCTAGGATTTCCCAAGTCTATCCATGACTGGCTGTCTATCCCTCTTTGATCAGATACTGTTCGCTCCGAGTCCTTAACCCGGATGCTCTTGACCGCCTGCGAAACATGAGCGTAGCCGAGATCCGGCGATTCATGCACTGGTATCTGGAAAATCATGCTATGACGAAGCTGAATTCCTTCTATGTGCTGATGCGTTACTGGCGGATGATGTACGCTCGGAAGATATACCAAAGCCTAGACCTTGTCATCGCTTCGGATATGAAAGACGTAAGGCTGTGGTTCCGTCTAGAGACCGTCTCTAACAGCATCGCTAAGGTATGGTTAGTTCATCGGCACCGTCCTTAAAAAGCGAGTACAGTTTGAGTGAGGGGATGAAAGAGAAGCCTGTCATGAACGTAGACGATGGGTACCTGCTCCTATACCACCATTACGCGCTATCGAACGAATACTACGCACACGAGCGGGAGCGAGTTCAGCACAGTTTGATTATTCTCTTCATGATAGGCACCTCTGCAAGGCCGTCGACGCTCGTCGAAGGGGGCGGCTACTACAACACAAACGAATGCCTTAAGTACAACGATATTGAGATATTCAAGGTTAGAGATCCAAACCTCCCCTCTCAACAAGTCTTTCTTATGAGAGTCCGGCTTCGGCTTCTCAAGGGCAAAAGAGACAAGGGCCTGCCGTAAGTATTCCATATCCTCTTGAGTTCACGTCGGCTAAGGTCATTAAGGATCAAGGTGGTGTTTTGTGAGCGAGACGATAATCTTGCTTTTTGCGCCATTCTGCAAGTTTTCGGGCTCGCCTTCGCAGATGACGCCTTCGACAGTGACTGGATCAAGCAGCCAAAGGACTTGTATACATTTTCGGTCCCACCTCACCTGCAAAGTGTGCAGCTACATTGGAAAGAGTCAATGCAGGACATTCCGATTTTCCGGCGATCTGTTTTTCGCGGCGGGCAGGCGACCATATCACCGAATAGATCGGTTCAGTACATGAATCTCTATTACCAGAACGCGCGACTAGGTAAATCTGCTGGTTTTGCAGATCCTCTCGGGCTATACAGCTATCGTAGAGGCGCTGGTGAAGCGATTGATTGTAAGGGCACACTCTTACTCCTACGCTGGCAATCTTCTTACATCTGCGTGCTTCATAACGTTTTTGAGGCCTTCCTCGCTAACATCATTTCTAGGCGTAGCTGGTTCAGATATGCGGAGCTTTATGATGGGCCATGCTCGTGCAAGTCTCTTTGAGCGCTATTATCGTAATAGCGTTGTCCAGCTCGATTCGGTATCCACGTTCCTCGAAGTGCCTTCCAGCGACGCGCTGATCAAACTGGCTGGGCATATGAGCTTGACCCGGGATCTCTCTGCGGCCGATTCCATCAACGTCGAGGATTCTGCGGTTGACAGCGACCCTAGTATCCAAGAAATCGAAAAGACGTGCCTCCGGTTTCGGAAAGACCTCATTGAAACTTTTGGGAAGATCAAGAACGGAACGGGCACGGAGCTCTACGATACGTACCGGCGCGAGCGAAGCCATTTACGCAGCGAGAGGATTAAGGTAAAACGGGCGCTCGAGGAAGAAGCCCGGCAACAGTATTTCCGGACCGCCGGGACTAGGTATATCGATGAACAGCGACGCGGCATCGCTCGTGAATATGTCGAACCGAAACCTATATTCCAATTCGAGGAACAGGAGAGGCTGGCAGCGCTCCTCTTCCAGAATCGAGATGTTCGGCAAGTATCTGAGGAAGAGATTTACGGGGTAGCGCATTGCAGCGATGGATAACCTAATCAGCTTATGCGGTCGGCATTTGCCCCGCCATGCGCCCCGTCGTCATCTCTCGTTGCGAGATAAATCTGTGGAAGAATACCGGAGGAGGATGAGAAAGATTTTGACCCCGACCTCTTCCCTTTGGTGTGTCTGGGCACCCAATGCCTGTTCTGTCTCGGCAATCAGAGCCTAGGGCCACAGTCTAGAACCTTCGCATTTGCTCGAAAGGATGCTCTAAAGGATCACGTTGAGAAGCATTTACGCCACCACGACTGGTCGAAAGAGCCGGAATGCCCTCACCCGCTCTGCGAAGAGGCTTTGAGCACTGATATGCACTTCAAGAACCATACGGCATGGGTTCACAACATTTTCTTGTAGCGAAACTGCCAATGAAAACACTGTTCGGAAAGTCCTTGACTGCCAAGACACATCTGGAGCTTTGTTTCAACCTCCAGATGTGTCTTGGCATCACTCCAGTCTCTTGTCGCTCCACCTTTCCGTATCATTCCAGACTCCATGTTCCTACTTGCGTTGTCTCATGGGTGTACTGATTTGTATCACACCGATCTCCGAAAATGAGCTCAGACGCAGGCAACCTGAGCTTCAGAAAGATATGCATGAACGAGAAATGTCCAATTATGTTGGTGTCATGTACGGTTACGCCACTTGATACTCTGTTCTGTTGAGAGAGCGTCGGTGTGAGATACTCGAGCGACTGTGGAGCGGGAGTGCTTTCCTCGCGGATACATCAACCGCCGACATCCAATACTGGTGTCTGAACATCCTGGCGCTTGCAATTGCACATCCACCATCCTAACCATCATGAAAGCGAGAATCATTCTTCTGGGCCTGCGTTTTGCAGCCTCAACTCTAGGAGCCTCGGCTCCCAAGGACGCTCCGGAAATCCTTCTTGCAGGACCACGACCTCCAGAGACCCCAAATCTTACTCCTCCGACAGGTGCTTCTTCGTTTTCGAAGCCGTACTGCATCTCCCAACCGCCCCAAGGTAGCTGCTATACCGCCAAAGTCTGCAACCAAGGGCCCGTAGATCTTAAACCGTGCGATAAATACACCGTCACTTATGACAAGCATGGAAATCCTCTGGAGGAGGAATTTACAATGAGTCCGAACCGTCCAAGATGTGGGAAACAAGCGAATGGTATCACCTGCGACCCGTAAGTTTGGCACTGCGTCTGATATTGAGAGGTTCTAACGCAGAAAGCCATAATGGATGGGTAGTTGTTGTTCAGAGGATGGGTATTGTGGGAGCGACGAGTATATCTGCAGTATCAAGAAGAAATGTCCTGCTTGTCCCACTGAAGGTGGTTGTCAGTCAGGGGGTAACTACAATTTCACGCATCACCAGCTTTTTAGAGGCATAAATCAGATATCTAACTGTGAACCAGACTACTACCCACGGCCTCCGGAGACTTCTGAAAATAAATGCGGCCCACAGTTCGGTGGAAAGCTGTGTGATGTCCGTTTCAATACAGGACCATGCTGCTCAAAGGAAGGGTAAACCCGACCACCCCTTGAGGCAGAATTCCGCTGACCAGTGAATAGTGAATGCGGCTAAACGGCAATAGATATTGTGGGTCTTCTTCACAGCATTGCGGTACAGGGTGTCAGAACGGGTTAGTCAACTCGCAAGACACAGAAGACGACAGATATTGATTTGCACAAGACTTTGTACCGCCTAGGAGGAATGCTGAGGGTTGTCCAGCATGAGCGGATCTGCGGGAGCCTGCATATTAGATGATAGATCCATTGAGAAGCGCGGACGCGGACGGACCACACTTTCAGAATACCGAATCTCTGATTCCAAATTCAGGAACCGGTTTGGGCAGATTCCTGGAACAATGGTTGGCATCATGTTCTAGTTCGAGACCAAGACCGATGCCAGGGGCATTAACGAGGAAGCACATGGTGCGGGAAGTCGCTAGGCGACAGGATTGCTCAATGACATGACGTCAATCTAGGGGACCATTAATATGCAAGAAAGTCGTCATTGCTACTGCCATCCCCCCCGGTCCATCCATCAGAATTCTGGAAGCGATGCCACGACTTGGGTTTTGCCCAAACCACAGGAACATTCTGCCTCATTTCAAATCGATTATCAGACTGGTCCACGGTTTTAGGAGAGAAGCAAGTCCATTTCTGAGCATGTTTGTCAATTTTGCAGGTGCTCCATGACTTCTCGAACCTATTCAAATTCCTCCCGGAGTCAAAGCACACGGCTCCGACGATAGCTTCATCTTTCGCGGTCGAGGCTATGAGGACTGCTTCGAGAATTTCTCAGCAGCACAATTGCTTGTGCATCGTGCTAAACTTTTGACTGGTTACAGAATCATATCAGCTTTTATTCCGAAGTGCGCGGACCGGTTGACGCTTACATGTGTCGACACAGCTGGCATCTCCGCTCCCGTTGCGGACACAATTAACGTACTCTCGTTTCGTCGAAGCACACTGTTCCGAATTGGCGCAGTTTTTTAAACCGTCAGTGCTGTTGTCGGGACTTGGGGCGCAAGGTGCTCGTACCATATTCAAGACGACTTTTCAAACCCAGAGGATCCGACACTCCACCATCTGCGCCAGGAACTGCACCGCCCCTGTTCTCACTTGCGTTTCGATTCCCTCTAGGGCTACGGATCGCATCCTTCTGAGGTTTGGCATCCTTTCTGTTGACGCTTTTTTCCTCGTCGCTTTCCTGGGGCGAATGCGCGGGCGTACTCGTCGAGGCTCCTCCACGGAGTCCTATGCGTCTTGGATCGTTGGGCAGCATTTCGTTGTTTAGGCTCTAAACAGGCGTGCAGCAGTATGGAAGAGAGATGATTGTAACGCGAAGGATCGGGTGGTTTCTTATGGACCATTGGAACGGAGAGGCTCGGGTAGTTAAGGCTTTCAGAGTTTGCATTATATGACATCTTAATGATATATCCCTGATTTCCGGGTTTTTCGGCATCTATCATGAATAGAAAGGGAAGAAGTTTGATCATGTGCTACTGAGCGAACGAAATTGGCGTTGACATCCAGCTTTCATGCGGTCCCTGGAAATATACCAATGGTTTTACATGGAATACTGAATGAGATTTGAATTTGTTCGCATGATGTTTTATGGTAACGGCGCGCAAATTCTGCCTGAACAGAAACGAGAGCGCCGACGATGCATGACGTCACAGATAGACAATCTGCTGACAGAGAGGCAAAGTCACTTCAGAGTTCAGAAGCACGAAGGTCTACCAAACCATTCCAATTCAGTCTATAGAAGGATTACTGCGGACTTCGTGTTCCTGTACTAAGGCAACTAAGCCAAAAGTCTGCGCACAGACCCCATTCTCACCTGAATATCTCTACACCCACCCCTTACTTTGACAATCAATAACTTTACCAAAATGAGGTCTTTTGGCACAAAAATAAGTGGTAATCGAGGGCCTAATAAGGAGTTATCGGCCGCTTAAAGAGTTGGATTGTTCAGGCTGCTGAAGATGGGAAACCAAAGACTGAAATCGCGCGGAACTTTCGCGTCTCTAGAAGCGCGGTGCATGGGACTCTAGAGAGGTGGGAAGAACATCAAACCACTGTATCTTTACCCCGTGAAGGGTGTCCCCATAAGCTATCACGCCCTGACGAACGGCATATCGTTCAAATCGCGCGTCGATTTCCTAAAATGGAGTATGGAGAGCTCCTCGCAGGTATTTTGTACCTCCGCATTTCTAGGAAGACTATCTACCGAACCCTTAAGAAATATCACCTTACGAAATGGCGAGCGAAGAAGAGGCCTTACCTGAAGCCCCACCACGCAAAAGACCGCCTCCAATTTGCCCACGAATTCCTTGAATTCGACTTCTCCCCGACCCACTCCATGGACGAGTGCTCGTATGAGAAGGGGGCGGGCGGTAAGCAGGTATGGGTATGGCGACTGTACCACGAGGCATATGATCCGCAAATGGTAGAGCCTAAGACCTCTGGCAAGGCCATTTCACAGATGATATGGGGCTCAATCTCGCGTGATGGGAGGTCAGGCCTGGTGATCATGGACCGCGACGAAACCTCCGCAAGACAGGGCTATTCCGCGAAATCCTACATCGCTACGTTAGAGGAGGGACTTCTCCCTACGTACGAACCCGGGGATATTGTTATCCAGGATAACGCAAGGATCCATACGGCTAAAATCACCCAAGAATGGCTGGAGACGCACGGCATTTGGGTCATCGATTGGCCGGCCAATTCCCCAGACATCAACCCCATCGAGCATATATGGCATCTGTTGAAATCAAAGGTCCTAGAGCTGCACCCCGAATTGAAGACGATGGGCGCCTCGGAGGAGGCACGGGAGGCCATGAATGCGGCGTTAAAGGAGGCGTGGTGGGCGATCCCTCAGGAGACGACCCGAGAGCTGATCGACTCAATTCCGCGACGTCTACGGGCGGTAATCAAGGGAAAAGGGTGGCATATGAAATATTAGATATTTCCCAATTAAGAAATCAAAAAAGTAGACTGAATTTGCATTTGTATGTGTTTTGCAGCGTATCTCAAGATACGGTGTATAGCGATTAGATTTGGTGATTTTCGGGGGTGTGTGCAGACATTTGTCTACTTAGTGTATCTTGAGCCATGATTTCGCCGTGTTTTGGGAGAGCTTGGCCTCTTCGCAAACATCTTTGAACGTTTTGCCTTTCGGTCAGTCGTCGTACGCTTGAAAAAACCGGGGTTTTTTGACTGTATCGTACTCCCGGCGCTTTATTTGCCTATCAGGAGTATGAGGGCGTTCCATACTGATAGGAAATAGTGGTGTTGGGCCGGCCCCCGGTTGACAAAAAAAGCGAGACTCACAACAGGAACCCCGATTCCCACCAAAATCCTTAACTTTGGAGGCTTATATCTCTACGAAGAGTAAATAATATTTTATAAAATTAAATCACATCATTTAAACTAACCCAAAAAGCTATTTTATAAAGATTTTAAATTTAAATAAACGTTATCTGTTAGTTATTTCTTGCCTACCTTTTAGCTTCAAGAAATTGATGTAGAAACAGCCTACCTTAGGCGGCGCAAGACAATATCTCAGGACCTATATACAATTAAGATTCTAGAAAAGTAGAATATTATTAACTCGATACTCTGAACTTGTATTTTAGCTTAAAGTAATTTAAAATAATTATTGGTTGAGTTATGAGCCTCCAAAGTCGAGGATTTTGGTGGGAATAGGGGTTCCTGTTGTGAGTCTCGCTTTTTTTGTCAACCGCGTGGCCGGTTTGGTGGTTCTAGAGGTTTGGTATGGTATCCGACCGGGGCCAGGTTTTGGGTGGTTGGTGGGTGGGGTTGGGGTATTCAATTTCGTCCACCCCGGAGGCGGGTACGGAGGACAGTATCATGGCCTCCCGAAATGAGAACGTTGTGCTTATCAAATGATAGCGGTGACGTATATCTAGCAGCAATTGACCTGGTTTCATCGTCATTATGTTGTCATGGTTTGGACGACGATACATCATCGCGGCTCGCACAAGACATAAAAGAGCGGCTATGCCGAGGAGAGTACTGTTTCTTAACCCCAAAATACGTATTTGCGAACCTCTGTTAAACCAGACCAAAGCACGACACGATGACTAGCAACCGGAATCCAGGAAATTTCGCCAATAGGTGGGTATTTTTATCGAATCGTTAACTGACTTCCACTAATGTTTTCACAGGCCTCAGGAGGAGGTTCAGGACATTGCCTCTGCAGGTGGCCAGGCAAGCCACTCTGGCGGATTCGCAAGCATGGATCCCGACAAGCAGGTTGGTGTTCTCCGTCTATGATCTATAGCAGGGTCAGTAGATGCTAAACACAATTCCTCTAGCGCGACATTGCCTCCAAGGGCGGTCAAGCATCCTCCGGATCGTTTGAGAAGGGCAGTGAGAGAGCTAAAGAGGCTGGCGCCAAGGGAGGTTCCAAGTAAATAATTAGGCGACGAATCGCGATACCTTCAAAACAAAAGGGAAAAAGATACGTGACCGGTTATACAGTTAAACTTTGAAACACTTGAGACGGCTATAACTTAAAATCAACACCGTAATCGTTGAACCTAGCAACAGGCTTGGACGTTGTCACCGGTGTTGCAGGTAGATGGTCGATTCATTATGGTATAATCTTGCACTCGCAGTGTCCTGTGAGAAAACTCCGAGCATGCCCAGTAGATTTTCCTCGCTTTCGAAGGGTCCAGCCAGTTCCTTATTCATTGACTAGTACTGTGTGGGGTCAGAGTAATCCGGTCAAACCCCTGTTTTTTGTTGGATATCAACCATCCTCTAGTTACCTCAGCAAGCTCAGGCCATTGTGGTAGTGCCTGAGGCAACAAACCGCGCTATACCTAATTGGTATGGTCCTCGACCAAATAGCCTGAGGATCCTGTCATTGATTTTCGGCCTGAGTCGAGATCGTTTGTATGAGAG